AATTATACTGAAAAATTAACGATTCGACTTTTATTTCAAACTAAAATCTACCACTTAACAGATGCTGTTCCCCAAAGAAGATCTAGCAGCGACAGCAGGAAAAATGTGATTATATAAGTTCGTCCCAAACCCTTTTTTCAGTGCGTCATAGTTGTTCGAACTCTCTCTAACGCATTAAGCTAGAAGTGACAGAAAAACACGTGAGTCTGTTATTATTATACATAGAACTTAGAAAATTAGGTATCGTTTACGGGTATTCGCATATTAAAGCGAATTTTGCTTACGGTTGTATAATTGGTTGGAGTTTAGAATACGCTAAATAGATATCCAATCAATGATGCAGGTAAATATATTTTAACGCAGATGGTCTCGGTCGTGACAGTGACAGTACTTTCACAATGTCAACTGATAAAATGATAATTGTCATTCCAGGTTAGTATTTTCAGACATTTTACCTCAGACATTTTGTATTTACCGTCATAAAAATATTTTGAATATTCCTAGATATACCGAGAATGAACAAAGACTAATATTAAAATTATTAAATTATTTTCAATTAGAAAAAGAGGCTGGGACAACTTTATTACCAGTTTCTGTCGTTCGCGAATCAAGATTGTGAATTCAGGAATGATATTGAGGAAATATTTTAAAATAATACCGTTATGGATATTTATATGTATTAAAACCGTTATGGTTCTTTTAAGGGTAAATAGTTTAAATAGTGAAGCAGTTGATATTTGAGTCAATCTACCAATTCCGGTATGCAGATGAAATAGTGGTAATCGAGTTTAGTTAAAAAAACAAGATAACGAATGTAAGTTTACCTACCTTCTTTTTTATGAATAACAAAAATGAATATTATATTTCAAACAATCATAATCCGATTCAGAATCGAATTCATTAAAATCAATGATTACAGTAGATATGTGGCTGGTATCAATTATATCTTACAATTCAAGAAAATGTGATTCTCAAAAGGGTAGTAGTGTAATAAGCCGGAACCATGTTTACGGAGATGAAATTTATATCAATGAATTCTGCTTCACTTACTAATAATTGTGCAATGATTTTTATGCGGTGCAAGACGTTATTTTTTATGTAATTTCCATTTAAAATATGCCCGATTTTTAAAAGCCACCGCCATTATTTGCCATGAAACAACAAGAAATGACAAGAATGACAACTGTTTCTTATGGTCAAAAATGGTAATTTTAACCAGTGTTGCCATAGTTATTCAAAATTATGTTTTCTAATTAATTTCAAATTGGACATTAAAATAACATTTTATTATTACCTACTTTTAACTGAAAATTATACCTTTTTACAAGGGTCAGGTTAGGTTTGGTTACGTTTCTTTACGTTTATTATCATATTTTCTTATGAAAAATAAAAAATTTGATTTTTAATTATATTCCTACTTTTAACTGAAAATTATATCTTTTTTACAAGGGTCAGGTTAGGTTTGGTTACGTTTATTTACGTTTATTATCATATTTTCTTATGAAAAATAAAAAATTTGATTTTTAATTATATTCCTACTTTTAACTGAAAATTATACCTTTTTTACAAGGGGCAGGTTAGGTTTGGTTACGTCTCTTTACGTTTACTATCATATTTTCTTATGAAAAATAAAAAATTTGATTTTTAATTATATTACAAAATTTTATTCTTATTACTGCTTTTTTACGAGCGTTAGGTTAGGTTAGGTTGGTTTAGTTTTATTGTCATGTTTTCTTGTTGGGTTAGATTTGGTTTATTGGTTTGCATTTTTAATATTAAAATGTAAATGTAATTTTCATTAAATTTTAGGTATTTTAAATGTTAAAACTGGCAACAATGTCAAAAGTACATAAAATTTAACTTCTTGCGCATGGCCGCCATATTGTTTTGAAATATTAAAAATCTTGATTATTTTAAACAATTTTACGCATTTTTTTCATAATTTTACAGTAAAAAATAGTGATATTTAATATGTTTTAGTTACGTTTTTTTTATTAAGACATTTATATATACTTTTCTTTGCTTTTTATGTAATTTTTTTTTTGTTCATAATACTTTTTTTTGTATTTTTTCTGATTTTTTTGATTATTTGGGCACTTTTAATAGTTTAAAGCAAAGAAAACATTAAAATTTGAGGTTGTTTTCACTTTTTCGACTAAGTCCACAAAAAATTGGATATTTTTAAGGCGTTCCGGCTTAGTAAATAATTACCACATTGTTTTTTAACTAAACTTCATAATATTCTTTCATTTGCACACCAAATCTGGTAAAATAACTCAAAAATCAACTGCTATTTAAACTGTTTCCACTATTTAATGATACATCTTCACTAAATTAAACTATTGGCTGCCACAGAAACTTATCGGAAAATTACTTATCCAAATATGACTGATTTCAATCAATGTTATTTTATTACAGGAATGTTTGCTTTGATGTCTTGCAGTTGCCAGTAAATTTTTTATCTCGCAGTCAACTCTTAAAAGATTCTAGGAGGAAGCGTTATTTTAAATAAACAAACATTCCAATTCCATAGTGTTTGTAATAAAGAATAATAAATCCATAAACAAATCTTAGCTAATTAAGCACTTTCCTTGGAATGTATAGAATAGGAATTATGACAAACTGGAAATATGACAAATTTTTATACAGGACGGGACCTCTAATATGTAAATTAAATCACAATTTGAATTGTTGAAGTTTTTACTCCACATTAAAAAAAAATAACCTTTTCACATTTAGCTGATTACAATCCTGCAACCGTCAGATTTAACTAAAATGTCATGCAATAATTCTCGACATTCTTAAAATCCTATATGACGTCGAAATTAGTGACGCACTGAAAGAAGGGTTTGGGACAGACTGTAGAAAACATTTTTTTGTCTGGATCTTCAGTAATATACGCAGACACAAAAAGAGTAACTATCACTATAATTAACCTAAATCCCTTAACACAAAGATTATTATTACATCGCCACTAGGAAAACCGGGCACACTTTTCTCCCCTAGGGATCTATCAAGGCATATAAAAGACATACAAGGTCACAGAAATGATTAAGTTGTATAAAAAGGTTTACAACAAAGGTAACGAGATTAACTAAAATTTTATAGAGAATTATATCTAATCTACTAAAACGCTAGGATGACACGTCACGCAGTTTGTACGGGACATTAACTCCTAGCGCCACCTAGGAAATAAATCTGCACTACCAACTGACATTTCAATCATATGTTGTTGTTGAAACAATACAGTTGATTTATTGCTAGTTAATTCTACAAATTGATGATTCAAATATTCCTACTCGGAAATTTTACTACTCCATCAATAATTATCTTTTTCGCAAAATTGGTAAAAAAATAAGTTTCTGTAATTGTAAGGTAGGGCAAAATAAGCTTTATGTTAGAAGTAAAGAAAACGCTAAGGTTCATTCTGCTCATTTTTTGAGCGTTTTGTGGTGGGGGTAAAATAGTTCGTTGGATCGTGACGTATGATACATCATTGGGAAGGAGAGGGGGTAGCGAACATGTTGAGACAGAAAAGCACACATTGTTATTGGTTCGATTGGAGCGTATGATGCATTTAATGAAAGAGGAGGATATAACCAATATATTAAGAAAGACGACTACCAAAAGGGCCTCACACAGTATCTTGATTATTAATGAACAGATAGTTACATACGAGATACCATGACACTATGGACGAAAATAGATTAACGAAAAGACAATTTTTTATTGACTTAAAGGCCTCTCACTGAGTACAAAATAAACAACTGATCGAATCTTAAAAAGTGACATAGCAAATGAAAGGGAAGGATATAACGAATATGTTAAGACAGAAAAATCAAATATGATTAGTACTAAAAATGTCGCTTACGTTTTACTACACGCCTTTGTAAATCTTCCAATTGATTAGAGCGTTCCATTGTCTCTTCAGCTACAGAATTATTATCGCACCACGGACGCAATATTTTAAAAGTATCAAACGTATAAAAACATAATCACGTAAAAACGTATCAAAAAAAATAAAACGAAAGAACACTGAAAAAAGTCACTACCAAACTAACTTGCGGTTCACTATTTGAAATTTGAATTAAACTGAACGCTGTAGTAGTTACGATTATACTAAAAATATTCTTGTCTCTCAAAAATCTGTTGGTCATATCCGCAATTTAAAAATAAAATATAAAACTTTGTCTGCCTAAGTGTTCTCCATCCCTTCGACACTGGATGGTCGCAACCTGATACCTTATTTCATGACTCCGTAAGCTCAGTCAAATACTGATATAATCTTACCCCAAGTCTGAATAAGTCTAGCGACTAAAGATAATGCATTATGATTTGTCATAATAGTGATATCCGATGTTTTCATTGGCCATTAGTCCACGTGGACTTATCATAAGTTCGATGAAAACTTAATTGGTTGACTGCCCATATTTTAAAACATTATACCAAGGACGTTTAAATGTTAATATCGAGTGAAATCTTAAAACTTTGTATTATTATACGTCTGAGTCATTAATAATTTTACAGACTCCTGGTAGAGTACTTTTTATTGAATGAATTTATTACAGATACATACATTTTTACACAGTCTCGCGGAAATACGAGGTTACCATAAAATAGAAGAATGCACTTGAAAAACCATAAGGGTAAAATCCATATAAGGATGGAGTAAGGAAAACGTAAAAAAATGAAAGATTAGCATTAAAAGTTTATTATTTCGAGTTAGAAATAAATCTATTGTTTTATTTATTATTATGGAAGTGCAAATGCGATTAAAACAATAATAAAGTTATTTTACCGACTTTCCGGTACTTTTCTCAAATTAATTGTTACTTTTAGGTACAAATGGTCACTGTGCTACGTATAGTTGAGGTAGGGGTAAGGGTCTTGTAAAACGTTACGGTGCATTACAAGGGTGGGAGGGGGGCTCAAAAATCTTCAAAAATTGCCTTACGTAATACTTGAATGCCCCCAAAGGCTGGTTATTGAAACTTCAATTATAATTCTGGATTATATATTTATTACAAACGCCTACACAGCAGGGATGACCTTACACATTGCTAATAAATATCTGAATAATCCTTTTCAGTCGAACATCAAAACTCTTTCACAAAAAAAAATAAACCTTAATCTTAATAAATTTTTATGCGTAAATTTATAAAACAAAAATAAGACGAAACTAAAACCTTAACAATGTTCATGGAATGAATGAAAAACGAAGTGGGATTTAGAAACGTCTATCAAATGGCCTCTGGCCACGATTGCGGGCTCTCCTTGCTACCGTCCTCGATTGGTAACCTTGGGGTGATCTATTTCTGTCTGAAAAAATAAAAATTGACTTTTAATAATACAGTAAATAACGCATACATTATCTGTGATATTAAAAAATGATTAAAGGTCTTCCGAAACCGTTATTCTTAATATATCCTACTCCTGGTGAAATTCAAACATAGAAGCCATATAGAACCATGTAAAATAGTAAAGATTGGTTAAAAAATTATTCTTGTCAAGTGTGACCTTATTTTAAATGGACTACAGCTAATTGCATGATTTTCACTTCCACCTACCTTCACCTACTATCTACCAATTTTTTTTGTTTGTATTCTTACTCTTATTCGCAACAAAACTCAAATAATCCTCTTCTATCACAAGCATGTCAATCAAAGCAATATTGCTAGACAGCAGCTAGATACTATAACTCTTCTTCTTTGTGTACCGTGCTTGTTTTCAAGCGTTGACTATCATCGATGACGGTGAAGCGTTGACTAACAATTACTCGACCGTTCGACCTATCCATTGTCTAATGCTACGCAGCCATTTGCCCTGAATGATCAACCGGGGTAAGCGATATTTAGGTCCTTTCATTATATGACCGAAAGTATTGGACCTATCTCATTTCGATGATGTTTTTATTAAGATTTTTAATTTGTTGTCCAGATTTCACATTCATAGAACAAAGCGGACCAGGCGTAGCACTTCAATACTTTTAGAAGTGTGGTCAATGACAGACTTCTACTGCGTAATACAGAACGCCAGTTAATAAAGCTTTTTCGTGCAAGTTTTATTGTGGTCGAAATTTCCTCGTCACTTTCAACCCTGCAGTCAATCCAACTAACTACCTAGATATCTAAAGTGTTCCACTCTTTCCAGGATTTTGTTATCTAATTTTAGTATTTAGTCTTCGATATTAATTTTTCCGACCACCATTCATTTTGTTTTCTTTGCATTGATTGTTAAGCCCTTTTCAGTGCATTCGTTGTTTACAACGTTGAACAGTGTTTGAAGATCTAGGCTCTCTGCCTTATGGCGGTGTCAACTGCATATCTGATGTTATTAATGATTTTACCACCGATTTGAACACATTCGCGCCGATTATTTAACGCCATCTCAAAAACTGGTTCAGTGTAGGCAACATCGGTGACATAACACATCCCTGTCTGACACCACGTTTGATAGAAACTTTAGCTGAAACCTCTTGATCCGCCTTAATACAAGCGGTCTGATTATAGTAAAGATTTTTGAGTAATCTAATGTCATACGTGTCCGGACTAACTGAGTCCAAGCATTGAAATAGTAGTGTATATCCTATCAGATTTTTTGGAAATCTATAAAACATATGTAATATTTTTCCTAAACTCAATGCTCTTTTGTAAGAGTATTCGCAAGCAAAAAGGGCCTAACTGCTCATCACCAGTTATCCCCTCACAAAGTTTATTTTTGAGCGTTTGACTCATTTATTACACTGATAATTCGATAGTCGCTACACTGTCTGGCATTCGTTTTCTTGGGATTAGTTATAAATATTGATTCTAACCAGTTGTCTGGTAGTTTACCACTGCTGTATATCTTTTTAAAGGAGGAGGTGATAATCGCAACGCTCTCATCATTTAAGAGTTGTAACAATTCTGCAGGTATTTCGTCAGGACCAGAAGCTTTCCTTAGTTTTGCTTTGTCGATAGCCTTCTAAACTTCTGAGATTACAATGGGTGGGCCAGTATCTCGGTTAGATATTACTTTTCAGTAGATTTTTTGGCCATCTTTAACTAATTCTATTATGTAATTTTCCCATGCAGTACAACGCTTTTTAGTATCAATTCTACCACCAGAATCTTGTAATATATTTTGACTGTAAATTCTGCTTTTGTCTGATAATTCTTTTAGTTTATTATGCAAATGAAAGCTGTCGTGTCGTTTCCAATGGTTTTTTGCTACTTTTAATTATTTTTCGGATTTCTTTATGTATTTCATTGCATTTTTTCTGTTTATTGATTTGTACTGCCTCCGAACGTCCATTAAATCTAAGATGTCTTGTGTCATCCAGTCATTTTTGACTGTTGGTTGTCTTAGATTTTCTCGAGATGTAGTGAGTATTGTTGTTTTTATTTGTTTCCAGCAAATATCTATGTTGTTGGTATGTTCTAGTCTAAGTTCGTAGAACTTGTTGATAATTTCTTGAGAAAACTTATTTAGGAGTGCCTGGGTCATGGAGTGCATCTAGTGATATTTTAGAGAATTTCTGATTTTTACAAACCTCTTTAGCCTGACTGTAATTGGAGAGCACAGTATAGTATGGTCTGATCGAATATCGGTACCTGTGTAATTCTTGACCGATTTTATGCAGTTTTTAAATTGTTCATTGACTTTTATATAATCAATTTTATTTCATACAATATTTTATCATCGATCCCTTGCAGACTTGGTAGACAAAACCATGCATTCATAATTAAAAATGTTTCCTCTTAACAGAACTACACCACTATAACTCATGAAACTAAATTAGATGTGAGATTTTACACATGTTGAGCATACTTAGGGTAATACGTACACATCGGATTTAACTGATGTGTTTATATCTTATATATCATATATAATTAAGTGCTTTCGTCCTAATTTGTACAATCTCTATTGACGTTGGCCACCAGTATAGCAAAGTTTTGTCTATTGTGGCTTGGTGTATGAGAGTGTTTTCTTAATTTCTGGTCCAGTCTCTTATACAACTGCAACTATAGACCTATTGCCTTACTACCTGTCGTATCCAAAATTATTGAAACTTATAAAAGCCCAAGTTAGGTCCTTTCTCGTTGAAAACAACATTTTATCACAAAGTGACTTTTTCTCTAATAAATGTACCAATCTATCAAGCACTAAACAATAATTTTTATACTGCCACTGTTTTTTGTGACTATGCCAAAACTTTTGATTGTGTAAATCATGACATTTTGATAAAAGAACTAAATTTCTACGGAATTCGAGGTGTTTCTTTGAATTGGTTCCAATCTTACTTGAAAATGGAAAATTGGAAATGGAAAATTTTTTTCTTTTTGCTGATGATACCAATATTACCTGGAAGAACCCTAATATTGCAACTGTTCATCAATTATAACTTCTGATCTACTTAAAATAAAAACCTGGTCCGACTCTAATTTACTCTCTTTTAACGTGGATAAGATAGTAGCATTATCCTATGAAGGAGCTCTTTAACCCTTGCTTCTTAATAACAGCCAGATCAGTATAATTGATTCTGTACAATTTGTTGGTATTTTTATAGATAGCAACTTTAAATAGTCCCTTCATACCGATTTGTTAAGTAAGAAACTAGCCTCAGCCTGCTATGCAATAAGATGTTTCGAATGATATTAATTTAGCACCTTCCAAAATAACATATTTTTCTTTGATGGAGTCTTATCTTCGATATGGCCTTTAAATTACAAAAAAGAGCAATACGGTATTTTTTGGCCTCACTAGAATAACACATTGCAAAAGCTACTTAAAAAATCACGGGAGTTTAACTCTTCCCTCTCTATATATTCTAGAAACTGTTTGCTTCATTCGTAAACACCTACATGTTTTTCCTGCAATACCTAGTCATGACTACTCCACTATAAATTCAAGCTTTGACGTGTATTTACCGATCCCATCCACTGAGTGAGTAAGGAAATATATATTCGGCAAAAAAATTATACAACCATCTAGCTTTGCTACTTAAATCTACAACTTCTTTACTTAAGTTCCGTAAATTGGCAAAAGCCTATCTATCTGAAAGACCTTATTATTCAGTGGAAGAGTTTCTTAACGAATAATTAAGAAAGTATGGTACGTTTAGGTACAAGCAACAAAGTATTTTTATATATATTTGGGTATCACATGCAGCAGCTTAAACTTATTCGTAAACTAGTTCGTAAGGTTTTATTATGCAATTTGCAATATAGTAAAATTTTGCAATGGATTTTATATTTTATTATGTTTTATTCTGTGATATTGACGATTTATGTCATTTTAGTGAATTTTAATTGTTATTGTTATTATTAATTTTTTTAACTTTTATAAGCTTGTCCATAAAATTGTACAATTTTCAGTGACAATAATCTTATTTCTATTCTATTCTTATATACCTGAGCCATGATTTTTTCTTCCTATACCTACTTTTCATTCAATTTTTCTCTCAATAATTAGTTGTAGTTCTTTGTGGCGCATTATATCAGAGCTAGAGGTTTTCCTAACTTTAAAATATGTGAGCGAGTATTCATCCTGGAAAATACTTCTAGGTTGGTTATTCTTGTGGTCCAACTTGCGATTCGCGACATTCTTCTGTTCAGTTACATTTTAAATACGTTTAACTTGTTGGTGTCGCCTTATTTAAGTGTTCATGTGTCGCAGACATACCGAAGTAGGAACCATGTATAAGTCCTATTGGTATGGCTAATGTTGGGTTGCAATTTTCAATTTCTTTTCTGTATTTCCTTTGAGTAGTCTAGTTTCCAATTTATTTCTCTACTAAATAAAGTATGTATATACTATATCAAGATATATTCAGCATATCGGTACATTAAAAAAAATGGAAACAGAACACACCTGGTTCAATGTTTACCAATTTAGTGTTACCGTTGTTTGTTTGAATGCAGCGTCTTTGATTCTAATACGTGTTAAAAATGATAATGATATCACGCCCTTTCATCCCCACCTTTTGTAGAATTTTTATTAATTGTTGATGTTTGATTCGTTCAAAAGCGTTTTTGTAATCAACAAAGCATGTGTAGAGGTTTCTTTTCACTTTCAATTATTTCTCAGCAACTACCGTTGTCCCATTGCATCGCTTGTTCCTTTGCTTTTTCTGAAATGATATTGTTAGCTGCTTATTAGATAAGTGATTTTAAAAACACGAAAATTGTTATCCTTTTCTAATCTTTATATATTAAAGACAAACGATCGCCGATGGACGATATATCGTTAAGTTAACTGAATAAAGGGAGGGGCAGGTAAACCATTTCTGTAAAAAGGTTTTCTAATAACTACCTAAAGGAAATCTACACTAGTATCATCATTAATCTACTATTGGATTACATAAATATAACAACTAACCTTGAGGATGTTGTTGATGTCGTTGTGGCGATCTGTCGCTCCATACAATAGGAGTTGGACCAGATCGTTGATTAACACCTCTCGGTAATGATGACCTTGTAGATCTTCGAGCAGAATTTGAGCCTCTAGCTACGCCCCGAGAGTTAGAACTGGGAGAAGCCTCCGCTTCACGTCCTTCTTCTTCGCCTTCTTCGGCTACGGGCGGCTTCTCTCCTTCAGAACTTACCTTTTAAAAAAAGTATAAAGATAACAAAGAGCTACTCCTTACAGTTATACAGGAAGTACTGGGGTAGGGAACTTTGAAGTATCTACTTTCAGTTAGGACTAATTTTAAAAAGCACTGCAGCATTGTAAGTTTAAAATTCAGTTGTTCCTTTATTTTTAACAGTATAGTAACTTTCTATATTTTTGTTCCATATTTTTGGTACAATTTAAATAAAATGTTAAATTTGAGAAATGGTAATTGTTATGGTCTAAAGTTACTAGTCTCTGATATGTAGAGCGTTATAGTTCTAAATATGTTGTAATTTAAAGGAATAGCGAAAATTATTCAAATAAAAATATATACAAATAAAAAATTACTTAGCAAAAATAAATACTTTTACGTTTACTCAACGGTATCGTCATAAACATTTACAGAAACCGCCAATTACGGTGAAGTTTTATTGTGAAAAGGAAAGGAAGGTTCGTAGAATGAAAAGAACTTATTTAAATCGTGGAAAGAAAACCAGGTCGGGCACAAGTATGTTTGAATAACAGATAATACTAAATAACACATGGCAGATACACCATTGAAAGAATGCTGAGCTTCCGATCGTTTCACGGGTCGAAGGAGTCTACCTCTATGCGAATAATTTATTCTCGATATTAATGTAATAAATATTGAGATTATTTACTGAAACTCTAACGGAGATTAGTTACTTTTGGCGGAATGCTATTTTATTCCATATTTGTCAGTTAAAATTTTATTTTCTTCATAAATCATGGAAGAGTTTTTTAAAGACCACGAAAATCACTAGTTGTGTGACTCTGATACAGCTGGATCATAGAACTAAGTTGAGGAAAGAATGATAAGATGCATTGACAGCAATGCAAATACAAAGAAATTAAGATGAGTATGAGAAGACACTCTTTTTGGACAGACATGTAGATTCTGAAACAGGTTAATAGTAGATCTTCTATAATTTTCTATTTAGTAACGACGAAGTGGCCCTGTTGTATGGAGAACCTGACCTGGTGGCGGAAATCAAAGCAAAGGGGATAAGAATCGACGGTGTTAAATGAGATTTGAGGAAGTTGGGAGCCAGAAGGTAGCGAACACCAGCTGGAGATGTTTGGAGGCAAAAACTTGCTCATGCCTGTGTCCTCCATGGTATGTAGAGCCGTGGAATAAGTATTATTATATTTAAATAGATAATTATACATGTAGTTATTTACAAAAAATCCAATATTGTTGAGTTAGGCACATACCTAAAGAAGTCGACCACCTGGTCCAATTCATCTATTAATTCATATTATTTCCGTTTTATAAACTGTTCAAGATCAAATATTTTGTATATATCGAATATTTCCGCAATTAATAATGGGTGTTCCAAAATCCATTCATTTTAATATTGCATCATGTTTCCCAACGTAAAATAACAGCAGCGTGACAGTTTAGGATGTCATTCTGCAAGTGGTCAAGAATTGAACATTTCCTGGAGCTCCCAACAATGTATCCTTCCAAAATTGGGATATTCATTTTATTGAATCAAGAACTGGTACAACGATGAGCGGATTGAACAGAGAAGATTTTGGATGCTGATTTACCAAACAAAATAATCTTGAGCCACAAGATCCATCTAAATCATGTTAAATCCTGAAAATGCATTTGGCCTTCAGAAAATGCACAGACGGTTGTAGACTGAAAAATATATTCACATCTTATCACTGTTTTTTAGTCTTAAAGCTTTATCGAAGCTTTATTCTTAAAAATGATGATCATTTAACAGTGATTAGTAAGATGATATGATAATCTAATTATTTGTGTCTAAATTACAAGATATAAACATATCTTGTGTCCGGAAATGGACAATAGATAATGGAAGATTTTCTGGAAGTGTAATTGTCATTATAATTGGTCACCAATATATTTATAAATTAACCAAATAGTTATAATTTTGAATTAAAAATCAAAAAGTCTATATTTTTTTTTATCAAACTTACTTCATGCTTATTTTTGGGATAAAAATATATGTAGCAAATCAAGATTTTTGTTCTTTCCAGTCTATTTACTAAGTATCTTTAATCCACCAGCACAAAAATTTTTCGAAGATCCATCGATCTTTTGCTACAGGATTTTTTTAGAGGTGAAAGTTAAAATAAAAATTTCTGTACATTAAACAAAATTTAATATCAAAATACTTTTTAAACGATTAAATCTTTAGAAATTTACAAAATACAATTCAAAATTCACAACCAATTTTTGACTGGTGGTCATTTATATGGAGATTTTCCCATTACTTTTAGTGCATTTAAGAATATTTGGATGTTTCTCTTACATAACTAACAATAAACACAAAAATAGCATCACATTTAAAAATCAATTACTAAGAAAGCTTCTCTTAATGAGTCACACTTACACCATCGTCACCTTCAAGCATTTCTTCTGCTTGTTCATGCTGTTGAGCGCCTTCTGACGAGGTGCCAGCCACAGCTGGGGGACCCATATCGCCCGAACTACCTTCACCTCTGGTTTCATTATCATCAACTTCACCACTTATTGCAATGGATGGAGTTTCAGCTGAAACAAAAAAATGGTACCGGTTGAATTATGTTAAATACATCTAATTTGAGTTAAATGCATATGATTCTAAGAGGATACAAATGCCGTTACATGTAATACAGAGCTACGAAAAATAATAGAGTAGGCCTTTTAATCGGCCGTTCTTCTTTCCTCCTCACCCTTTTAACTTCAGATAAGGAACTCAAGATTAATATTACACTTACTTAACTTAATTTATATTATATAGTCGTCTGATTTCTTTGAAACAAGGAAATAAAATAGTCAAGACATTTAAGCTCCTTTAGAACTGGTGTAACATACACAAGTTTGTACTGTAAACTAATTACTGTAGAATCGAAAACTTCAGTGATACCATTGGTGTTTGTGGTGAAGCACTAGCTTAGAGAGTGAATTTAGTGAATTTACCTCAATTAGTTCTAATACGATAAGATACCAAGAAACAGATAAACTGATAAAAAAGAAAATAAGAGAAGCTAGAGAAAGATGGCTAAGTGAGCAATGCCAGGAGTTGGAACAATTGGAGCGAAAATATGACTTTTTTAATGTACACAAAAAGATTAAAGAAATGACAGGAAGGAGAAGAACAACACAGACAGGACAGATCAAAGATACAGATGGTATACTTATAACAGATTTACAACAAAAAATAAACCGATGGACAGAATACATATCACAACTGTTTGATGCAAAGATAGACAAGAAATCTCAAACGAATATACAGATGATACAGAGCTTGATATAATCAGCGAAGAAATAGAATATGCAATCAAACAAGCAAAAAGTGGTAAGGCCCCCGGTCCTGATGAAATTCCCGTAGAACTGCTCAAACTTATGGACGAGGAATCTATTAAAATACTCCTAGATCTATTTAACACAATATAACGAACTGGAATAATACCTAGGGAATGGCTCCGTTCGACCTTTATACTACTGCCAAAAAAGGCAAATACAAAGGAATGCAACGAATATCGTACGATAGCTTTGATGAGTCATGCTCTAAAACTGTTCTTAAAAATAATCCATAATAGGATCTATAGGAAATTAGACGTAGACATCAGTAACCATCATGAACCAAGAAATTTACGCCTGCTTTATCGATTTCGAAAAGACCTTTGACAAAGTACAATATGAACCACTAAGACAAGTTCTAATAAAGAAAAATATAGACAGCCGAGATATTCGAATTATATGCAATATATATTGGAATCAAACAGCAAATGTCAAGGTTGAGGGCAGACTAACAGAAGAAATTCAAATCCGTCGAGGAGTCCGGCAGGGATGTATCTTATCGCCACTTTTATTTAATCTGTATAGTGAAGCTATCTGTGAACAAGCACTCGAGGAAGAAGATCTTGGTCTGATAATAAATGGTGAGACGATCAACAATATAAGGTATGCTGACGATACAGTTCTCCTAACGGGAACGCTAGTAGAACTACATCTCGTTCAAAGTCTCAATATATACTGTAACAGTTACGGCTTGAAAATTAATTTGAAAAAAACTAAATTTATGGTAATCACGAAATCAAAGAACATCAGCTAATATTGTAATAGACAATACAACGATTGAGCGTGTGCCCTGTTATAAATATCTCGGTGCTTGGATCACAGACGATACTGATCAAACAAAAGAGATTAGATGTAGAATAGAAATCGCTAGATCAGTCTTTAATAGAATGCGCAAACTCTTTTGCAATCGTGATATCAATATAAAGTTACGAATACGAATGCTGCGGTGTTATGTCTTTTCTACCCTGTTATATGGAGTTGAGGCTTGGACACCAAAACAGTTGTCCATAAAAAAAATCGAAGCTTTCGAGATGTGGTGCTATAGGCGCATTCTCAGAATATCATGGATGGACCGCATCACTAACACGCAAGTACTCCAAACTTTAGACAAAAGATGCGAAATTCTAAATGAGATAAAAACTAGAAAGATGGAATACTTGGGGTACATTGTGAGAGGTGGAAAGTACGAACTTTTAAGAAACAGGGCAAAATTAAGGACAAAAGAAGTGTGGGAAGAAAAAATATCGTGGCTTCGTAATCAAAGTGAATGGTTCGGGTGTAGTTCGATTGAACTTTTTAGGCGCGCTGCTAACAAAGTCGCAGTGGCCATGATGATTTCCAATCTCCGCCAGGAGTGGCACGAGAAGAAGAAGTTCTAATACAGCTTGTATCATATATCTTAAACATAACAAAATTGTCAAATGTATATATAGGAGCATTTTCAAGAACACACTGAACAAATTTTCTATAGAAGGAATAAAGCAGTAGGTAAAATTAATATTAACGAGGTGCATAAATGTTTCATGTTTAGTGTTTGTGGTGAATTTTTGTTCTGTTTTTTCATTTTATTTCAAACGAAAATTAAATGAATTTTTTGACAGATCTTTGAATTTCTTCGTCTAAAATTATAAACTTATTTATTTTGTTTAAGTTTGTTCTCTTTGGACATTTTCCTTTATAACTTTATTAGAGAAATATTGATTAGTAACTTTATAAAATTTACAGATCGAACTATAGTGAAATTTACGGAACGAATGGCAGTGTGGTAATATGTTAATAAAATCCTCTAAATATAGAATCATCGAACTACTTACGAACTTACCATCTGACTGTTGACTAGTACCTTGCTCCTCACTACCGGGAATTCCTTCTTGCGGAGAAGACTGTAACGGTGTCGTAGGTACGCTCCTTCCGGTACCTGTAACAACAAAACGCATTATTAAAAATTTAACATCCACAAGTGTTTGTCATACTAGTCTCATCCAAGCTGCCGGGCTCCATAAGTGTTTGTTCAGGCACGTGCTCTAGGCTGCTGGATCCAGCTATATTTGTCGGAAGAGATTCGTTAAAAGTGAACCTTCCGCTGGTAGGAACATGAGGAGAACTAACAGCTTCGCCGAAACCATCCGACCGCCGAGGGACATATAAAGTTGGCGTTGATGGGACGATGCCATCATCTCCTATATCTTCTAGACCTTGTTGGTGAAGAAGTAAATGAGAGTGTCTGGACGGCAGAGGAGCTACGGGCCTCGTACGAGAAAAAGATGGTACAGTCATTGACACGGATGTGGAAACTTGAGATATTGTGACACCACTGCTGCTCGTGCCTGATCAAGAAAACAGTAAGTACTTTGCTAATCTGTATTTTGCAGTTTTATGCACACAAGTTAGTAAAAAGATTTATATTTCAGAAGTTAGACTGATCATTGATGAAGTCTTTCTTAAGCTGTTCGCACAAATTGTACGAGGGTCGTCCAGAAAGTAAAGAACAATTGCGTATCACGCGCTTCGCCAATCCCCTACAACCGCGACTTCTTGCGCACCAGTTACCTCTGTCTGTTGCATCAGTCTAATCCTCGTGTACCGTAACTACAGCATGCAAAAAATATTTTACTTTTTTACTCTCAAGAAAACCGATATGTCTTGTACGAAACCAATTTGCATTAACTATATGTGACTTTGACGTATACTGGGGCTTTTTTTAAGAACAAACAGTATATGGTTAATAAAAATGACGTTACACTAGAGAACAATGCGTTTTATTTTGACATTTTTAAAAATCAATTGCGGTAACTTAGAAAATTGTCACATCATCATTTGGCTTTACAACCTGTGTGGGTCTGCCTCCCAAATCTCCCAGGTCTATCATCTTCCTCCGCAGCACTATTCCAATGATATCTGTCTAGACAGATGATACAAGTATCAATTAGAAAATTTTGTACAAAACATAATATTAACTTTAACTTCAAGAGAATAATTCAAAAATTCAGGTAGACTTAATTAATTGGCGATGTTAAACACACTGGTTCTTCAGAATCAAGCCGCTCAAATGTCAATATCGAAATAGTGCGTGAGAGTGTTAGTGAAAGTCCAGGCCATCAATTCCGACTTCATGGACAAGAATCAAGATTTCAACAAGCTATCTACAGCGTATACTCACTGCAGGTCTGGATCTCCATGTTTACAAAGTTCGACTAATACAAGAACTGGAGCCTAATGGCCACGCACAGTAAAGAGAGTTCATTGAATTGATTATTGAACATCAACAAATGGATACTGATGTTTTGAGCAAAATCATCGTAAATGATGATGCACATTTTCACCTTTGATGGCTTTAATTGTCCCCAATAGTAATCCACAGGTAACTGTCAAAAAAAAGCATCCACAATGGGTCACTGTTTGGTACGGATTTTGGACTGGAAGCATCATTGGACACAAATGTCTTTGAAAATAAGGTTGATCAAGTTTACAACCACCTCTGCATCGAGGAAGGAAATTCAACGCTGCATCAACAAAATTCAGGCACATTTATGCAAAATGGTGAAGGAAAATTTTGACAAAAGAGTGTGTATGTACTAGCAGTCTTTTTTAAGATTCAAAAATTCAAGATTTTATGATTTAACATTAAATTCCATGCTTCTTTCAATGTAACAAACAGTAAACAATATGCCCTTTTGCAATTAGCTATTATGAAATAATATTTACTCTTATATTTTTGTCAATATTTTGATATTACTTTTTGTGCTGCGTTGCAATAATTACCAGATGTTAAATATATTAAAAAAGTTTATTATTTAGTACTATTCTTATCCTCTCCCAGGAATAACTGCTCCTGTCTGTATATTAAAATAACGTCTTAAAAGTGGAATAATAGACTAAAAAATGATTAAACATGCGGCATTCAAAAAAAAATCCTTCACTTACCATCAGTGCCACTACTTATTGCTTCAGACTGTGGTTGTTCTGAACTTTCTTCTTCCGCGTTATCTTGTTCCCTCTCACTTTGATTTGGCACTTCACTGGAATCGTCTATCACCTCAACTTCATTACCAGCCTCTTCTTCATCTTCCACATCTTGGCAATCAGCATCTTCATAATTATCCTGTTCCTGGGATAAATAAAAAAAATGGTTAGGGAAATGTGAATAAATAACTAAACGGCTACTATTATGACGATACATTGCGTAGTCAAACATAATGAAAAGTTTTGGGGTACATTGAATATGAGCCTCAAACTGAATAAAGGGAATTTAATTCAGAAAAATCGAATATTATGAAAAAGAAGTAAAGAATTAAAATGTTAAGTAAAATAAATTGGTGAATTGATCGAATATGTAGAGAGAAACATGAAGAATGAGCCAAATTGTAACATTTTCATAAGTTAAAAGTAAAACTTATGCCTTAGACGGACCTGCACGGCCGTATAACTTCTAATGAATAACTAGTCCTTAAAAGAGAACTCAGAACATGTTCTATATAAACTGGATTTTGGGGAATGACCTACTTTGGACATTGATTTGTTACCAAAATTATCTTGGATATTATTCCATAACTACTATAAATAAATCTAAAGACTGATTATTGATATGGAGTACAAGTACTAAGGTATAGACTACAAGTCTATCTAACTAACTGCATTTTCGTACAATTTATATATCGCTCGGATATACGTCGAATCCAATCCGGACCTTTCGAGGACCTCAAACATTTTCTTTAACGGGACACTATCATATGCTTTCTCAAGGTCTATAAATACCAAATGGGTCTCTCTACTTCTTTCGACACGCTTTTCAATTATTTGTCGTAGGATAAATATATTATCAAGGCAGGATCTCCCGGTACGAAAGCCGCTTTGTTCTTCAATATCTTACCAAATTAGCATGTATACCATTTTTTAAAAAGAAAGCTATACCTGTTCAGTTACAAAATAATAACCATTTTCGAAGTATTTGAGTATTATTTATTAAAATATCGTAATTCCCCTAATTGATACACAATTTTTAAAAAAATCTTTGACAACTTCTTGTTGTGGCAGCAGATTTTTAGGAAGATAACAAACTCATGTAGTTCAAGCATGTGCTGTTTTCATCACACAGTCTGTATAACAAATGACAGAAAATGAGAAACATCCATTAATGCTGTAACAGGATGTCTAGAGTCAAGTATTACCATTAAAAACTCACGAAACCGGAGCAAAATATCAATTTATTAGAAGAACAATATTCAATTTAATCAGTCAAATCTAAAATTAAATAAAACCGAAGTCTTATGGCAGATCAGTCATATAAAATAAAATAATAGCCTTACCATTCCCTCCATATCATATCCCTCAGTATCAGGATCATCTTGCTCATCATCAGCACCTTCGCCTTCATCAGCAGCACCTTCTTCATCACTTTCAACTACTATCACATTGTCGTCATCATGATCCCTTTGACTGCTCGTGGGAACTTGATATTCGACATCCAAACCACTATCACTTACGGTTCCAGCTTGCTGTAAATTAAGTTACAAATAGAACAGAGTCTAAATTTACCTTTAGTTTTACTCACCTGGATCCTTGTCCTCTTAGTTTGTTGTTGTGTCTTAGTTTGCTCATCGGATTGACTACTATCCATATCAGCTTCTCGCTGTCTTTTATGCCCAGCCTGTGTTGTTGTAACAGTATTTGAGCTGCTACTACTTGTACCTTGTTCCTGAGTTGGACCACTGCTAGGCGGTTCAACTCTCGGTAATACAAGAGCAACGGCTTGAGTCTGTGGAGCTGCCTGGACCTGCATACTACTCTCGTCGTCTTCTGTATCTTGAGACGATTGGGTGGGAGGTACGGCGACTTGACGAGGACCCAACATTGCAGGACTAGCTGAGCTAGTTGCAGGAACATATTCAGTGTGGGAACTAGTAGGGCTGCTAGAAAGGGCTTCTATTGAACTGGATCCTGTAGTGTGCACCTGGAATTATTTCACTCGTGACATGTAGAAAGGTATTGCACAAAAAAATATAATAAATATATGTAGAAAAACAAAATGTTCACACATTTTTATTAATTTTTTTTCTTTTTATTAGTTTTCTTTCCTAACCAAATAGCAGTTGATGTAACAATAAGAAACTTTTTCCAGTAATTTCCATTTGTTTGTCAGTTAAGTGCTTCTATTAAAATATCTAAAATTAAACAGCTAAGCTGTGATTTCCATTGAAAAATTACTTTATATACGTTCTTGATTTAAATATCTATTATAAGAGATTAAAAATTAAAAGTGGTTTTAGTATAAAATTTTGTTTTTACAAAATATCATTTTTGTTTTCAACCTGCAAAAATGAAGCGGCAAGAGCTTGGTGGTTTATAAGTTTATTGACTGAAGCAGTACATTAATCTGCACAACAAATGTCACATTTTCTTGATAGTTTATATAAAGGTGTATTTGTATACCTGTTGTTGTGGTGGTACCATAACTGCGCTGGGACTCTGACTAGTTGGTAACACAACACCAGTGCGTAGTTGTGCAGACATCGGTCTAATACTTGCTAAAGGAGGTTCACCACCACTTCTCCATGGTTGTATAGGAACAGATTGTGTTTGAGTATTTGTAGAGTGGCCTAAAAATTAATGTATTATCTGATTTGTTAAACAAAATATGAATTCAAGACAAAGATCAAGGTTTGATCAGAAACTCTTCACAAACTTGCCACATACTGAAGATACTAATGACAAATTCAACATTTTTCAGCTTCTTAGAGCATGCTTTTGTTTATATTGTTTTTTTGCGTTCCTTGCATTTGGATTTGCAAAAGTCCTTTAGAGGTAAATGTATGGACAAAAACAAACATACCAAAATTGACAACATTCTGGTCGAACTTCCATCAAATAACACAGGAAAATAACGAACAATTCTGTACCTTTCAAACGCGATTTTTTTGGCAATTAACCGAAATTTATTACATTAGGTTACAATTGAGAGAAAATTAAACATATATGGATTATATAAAATCAAACCTACTACCATGACATTATCTGTCCCTTTTTCTTTAAAGGGTACTAGATAACGCCTGATATTTTTATAATATATATGAGGACACTAGAAGTAAAGGGGTATAAGTGAATTTTTGTAAATATTGAGATAACTGCAGCGCCGAACTGGAAATCTTTCATTCTATTTGGAGGTCAAGAAATCTAAGCGATAAGTCTAACAGGTGCTGCGTTCTAGCGGCAAGTTACTTAACCTCCAAGCCAACTACGAGTAGGGCTTGGAAGAGAAGAGGTAGAAGTGCACTTGTACCCCTCTTCCACTATGTCAGACTGTTAGTTGATTTTGTTATCATTTTGGATGGGTACTAATATTATAGCTTCTCTAAAGCAATATTAATTTGTTGTTATTAAACTACAGTGTTTTTAAGAAGAGTTCGTTTTTATAAGCTTTAAAGGACATGGATGTATGTAACCTAAAAACTGAACGTAAGTTAAAAAAAAGTCCCCTCAGGCGTGGCATGCATAGATAAAGACGAAAGAAATCACCCCCGAACAAATATTTCTGAAAGGGCAATTGAAATCATAAAAGAGCATATTAATAAATTCCCTAGGTACACAAGCCTCTACACTAGAAATAAGACTCCGAATAGGACACTCAGGAGTGTCAATTTGAAAATAATGTACAAACTTTATTGTGATTTCTGTAAGGAGGAAAAACAGGAAGAATCTGTAAAGGAAAGCTTTTACAAGAATATTTTTAATACTCAGTTCAACCTTAGTGTCAAAAGCCCAAGTACAGACACCTGTGACAAATTTGAGATAAAAATAAATCACGGTTTGGCAGAAAAAAAAAGCTTTAGCTCAGAGAGAAAAAGGCTCACACTTGCGTTAGCCGGAAGTCTTAAGAACAGCAAATGATGAGTGTCAAGACCTAAAGAATGTTAGTAAAATTGGGATCATCTTTGACTGAAACGATCCATTTCTTTATGTGGCACGAAGGTCGGGCGTCATGTCAATGTCACGAAATATCATTTGTCTCCTAAAATATATAGAAGCCTCCCCCATCTGTGCTACTATGGCACCCTCGCCCTTCCAGGCGAAAACGTCGATGACCATCTGCACAACCTCCAGGAGGAACTTCCCTGTGTAGGTGTGTTAGCTGATGCAGTACGAAAGGCTGCTTTAGACGCCAATCCTGGACCCACGTATATGCTGCCCAAAAGCTAAAAATCTAGCTGCCTCTAATGGAATAGGAGCCACTGAATTCCAGTGCTACCCACCCAATATTGGCTTTAACTTCGACTTTCTGAATGCCATTTCCAACACCAAACTAATCAAGACTAGAGGAGTTAACAATGTAGACACCACTTGGTGCTGCATTGGTTTTGCATTTAGTGATAATTGTGGAGGCCAAAACAAGAGCCATCTGAGAGTCAAATTTTTATCTCTACATTGTAAACAACACTAATATTCAAACAGGTAGATCATCACTTGTTTATAAGTGGCCATTCTTATAATGAGTGTAAGCAAAACTTTGGTTTGATAGAGTTAAAAAAAATTCTTAATAGTACATATGAAAAATGACGATTTTTTAGACTTCCAAACACTTGCGCCATACTTCAAGAAGAGCGGAAACGGAATACAGAGTATACAATGGTTACATTTTCAGCAGGACAAACCTTTCACCCAGTTTTACAAGGAAACAGCTGGAGGTATGGAGGTAGCATAGAAGAGTTTAATGAGCTATCTATGAGAGCCACTCGAGCTGGCAAAAATTCTGTCTTGCCAATACCGATTGACTTAAGGCCTTTTATTAAGCAAGCTGTGAGCTGATAAGCTCAAATCTTCTACACTTTACCATGAGTTACTTACTACTACTACGTACCTACAATTTACCATGAGTTTTTCATGAATCTGCGATATGATGGTCAACAAGCTGGAGAACTAGCAAACTCATAAGAAGCAGAAGGCGAAAATGACGATTTGGATTAACATTACGACACTGATATAGAGAATCATGTCAACTTTGTATTAGTGTTATGATGAAGAATAAATTTGTATAAAAACTTTATAATTTATTTATATTTTTACCTTTATGTTACATTTCTTATAAGTAAAGGGGTACAAGTGCTACTTAGCAACCTAAAAATAGCTCCAAACTGAGTAAAGTCAGTCAAATTATGAGTTTTTGTTTACATTACAGTGAAGGCTCAACTTTAAATGGCGTTTACTCAAAATTTAATTTTTGTCACTTATACCCCTTTATTTCTAGGGTCCTCATATAAGAACGCCCAAGAACAAAGTATAAAAAATGTGCAAATATATGAACACAAATATACACATTTCGTTTACCTGCCATTGCATTATGTACATTTCACTCTTTACGAGATCATGAGACACAATTGGCTAATTTAGACGAGATGATAAACATATCCATTTGTATATCAGTGGTTAATTTAAAAATTTTAGTCAGTCAACGACTGGGACACTCTAGATTATACAGTGTGATGCAAAAGTATTGAATAAATTCGTTATTGCAGAAACAGACGACTTTTAAAATCTTAAATCATGTAAATTTTAATTTTTACAATTGTAATATCGAGCCATTTCAAGAAAAACATTGTAACCAACAGAGTGCACCAGGCTGGCTGAAAAGAATTTGAATTAACCACCGAAAATTCCTGTTGATATATGAATATTCCTGGGACACACTATATATAAATATAGAGATATGTTTTCCAGCAAATATATGTCATTTGTTTTGTAGTAGGTGGCATATTATGTCCCAGAAGGCACAAATACAAATAAAAATATAAGCTTGAGATGACAGAAAATATTTTAGGAGGCTCTATATAGTTCATGGACACAGGGTAATGCGTCTTTGGACACAGAAATTATAATAAAACGTAAAACGATTGCTTACCTGCCATCGGTTTAATATCAGCAGTTGGCCGTTCAGTGGAAGACTTTTCAGCGGTGCTTGAACTAGTGCTAGGTTTTGATCCTTGTTGAAGACCCAGTTGCCTTTGTAATTGCGATATCCTTTGATTAAGACTTTCTACTTCTGTTGTATGCTTATCTTGTTCTTGTTGTTTTTCTTCAAGAATATCGTCCCTCTCTCTTTCCAGCGAAGCTATTTTCTCGAGCAATTCATCAATCTTAGCAGAGTCATCGCTTGATTTTTCAGCTCCGTCTGATCTTCCCGGTCGATTAATTTCTTCTTTTAAAGTATTATTCTGATCTGTTAAACTCACGATCCTTTCCTTGGCATTCTTAAACAGCGCCTTAAATCTTTCTTCCTTTTCTTGACTGGTTTGTTTTAGATTCTCAATTTCCTTTCGGTAATTCTCTATCTGCTCAGTTGTAGAAGAAACTTCTTGATTTAACTGGTCAATGGTTTCTTTATGGCTTCTTTCTAATTCAGTTACCTTTTCTTCCAATTCTGAACGTTGGTTTTCCAAAAGTTCTTGCTTTTCAATACTACTCACTTGCTCAGATTCGTGCTGTTCATTTTGCTGTTTCAGTGAGGCTATTTCTTTAGTTTGATCTTCACACTGAATCTTATACTTTTTAGCTATCTTTCTAACTTGGGCCATATTGTTCTTTAGTTCGTTAATAGTAGTATCTTTAGCGGCCGTTTCCTCAGTAAGCCCACGATTTTCTTCCTTGAACTTTATTATTTCAGCGCTTTGTTGATCTACGGTATTAGTGAGTTGTGTAACTTGTGCCTGTAGGTTAGATACTTCGTCCCGTAATCTAATAAAAATATTGTATGATTATTATCTGTGTAATGTTAAAATATTTAAATTTTATAACCTTATCTAGCAATATAAAAAATTTATTTAAAACGCAGATTAAGAAAGTAAAAATGATGGTGGCAAAAAAGGGAAAGGAGAATCGAAGGGGCAAAAATTTGGCCGAAAGATGACAGAAAGAGACGGGAGATGAAAGAGAAAATCGTAAAACTTGTGATATGCCAGTTCTTCAAATATCTCTTGGAAGCAAATAAAAAAATATAAAATAAACTTTTTTATTGACGTTTTAATGTTTTATTGTCTAAATGTAGTTGATATTGAAGCTTTACTTTTTATTTTTTTCAAGTGAAAATACCTAGAAGGGGGGCAAAAAACAGAAGTGGCAGAAGAGAAGTTATGAGAGTAAAATGGTAGAGTGGAAAGTGGAGAAAATTATATAGAAGACAAGAAAAATACTATAGAGAAGACAGGAGAAAATACTTAGAAAGAGAGCAAAAGAAAAGCGAGTAATAGAGAGAGTATGAGAGTGAAATGATAGAGTGGAAAGTAGAGGAAAATGGATAAAAAAAGATAGGAAGAATAAGATAAGAAAAGATAAAACAAGTATCGATGCCATTAATTTTATCCTAGAAGACCATGATGAATGCTTTGCTCTTTGTTTAACATGAGCACTGGAAAACAGAATAACAACTACGGGACTACAATGTACGGAATTTTAAACTGATCTCTTCATTTTATAGAAGCAGTTCACAGGAGCATAGTGGCAGTGCGTTATACATCAAAGACACGTTTATTGCCAAAGCCCGGGAAGACATTTCTAGTTTATCAGAAAGAACAGTGTTTGAGTGTTCCGCTGCAGAGGTGCGAATTAATAAGAAGATTGTAATCCTATCCGTATGTATCTACCGAACAGAAGACCCACAAGTTTTAATAAACAAATTAGACCAAATACTTTGTGATTTAGTTGACAAGGACTCCATCATTTTTCTGGCTGGTGATTTTAACTTAGTTATGCTGCTTGATTGTGCGAGGTGACCTTAAAAATGTTTTTGAGGTCCTTTGATATTAAACCTTCCATCAAAGATTATACACGCATACAAGGTAACAAAAAATCCTGTATAGATAATATTTTTACAAATCTTCACATATTTGATTCTCTTGTATTCAATCCTCTTACATCTGATCATACTGCTCAAAAGGTAAAATTTGAATTAAATGAATTTGAGTCAAATATAATAAAAAAAAAAACGAATATGTAGCAAGGAGAATAAACGTTTTTTTAAATTCATGTTAGGTAATGTAGACTGGGTATGTTTTTGAGACATTAGAAGTAGATAATCAGTGGAATGCTTTTATGAGTATAGTTCAGAAAATTTTTATACAATGTTTTCCACTGAAAGAGATAAATACAGCAAATAGAAAACAATCCCAAAAGTACTTTAAAAATGATGACATAAAACATTGTAAATCTAGGCTTGGTGTTTTGTTTACACTGTTTACCAATAATGTTGATTATAAAAATATTTACAGGACAGAAAAACGCAAATACAATTCTTTACTCGCTTAATCTCGAAAAACTTGTTATAAAGAACGAATTAAAAATAGCGAAAATAAAACTAGAATGGCTTGGCAATTGGTAAAAGAGATTAAGGGTAATTCCAAAAATCTAGGTAATTTTTTGTAGAGGGTGACCCTCAGGTGCTTTCTAACGAAATAAATCAATTTATGGCAAATGCAGCGCCAGAAGCTGTAAAGAAAATAAAACATGTAAAAAATTTTCAAATTAATATCGAACAAACTAATCATTGCATGTTTTTAACTCCAGTTTCAGAGAAAGAAATAAGTCACATAATAAATAAATTAAAAAACGAGCATAGCTCTGGTTATGATGAAATATCAACCAACTTAATTATCATATGTTTCATCAGAGATTTCTCTTCCTCTTTCTTTTATAGTTAATGATTCTTTCAGGCAAGGTAAATTTCCTCAAAGTTTAAAACTGGCAATTGTCAAACCACTATACTTCGATCTGGAAATCTTATGGAGTGACGTATTTTTAAAGTATGGACAGTTACGGTGTCGAGCGGAAGGACGTGAGGAAGATCATAGGCGTCGAGGTTTTTGGATAAATATTTACAGCAATTTTATTAATATTAATATTTAATTTTGTAAGTACCTCAAAAATATTTTTAAAATAGACTAATAAAATTTTAAAATTTAGTATATTAAATAGTACATTTTTATATAAGTAAATGAATTACTATTATATCATTTTCGGGCTCAAATAAAAGAATCGAAATAAAATTCGCAATAAAATTAATCGGCATCATCAAACAATACATGTTTGTATTCAAAAAGATATCAACAACACAATCAAATTCCATCTTACGTTCTTGGTGAAAACTTACGAAAATACTTTTCAAACTGAATTATTAATCAATTTTACATAACTTACTTTTAATCAACATCAGAAATGTCTGAGTGTTCGCTATCTGCACCAAGTTGAACGACAATGGGTTCCATAATGACATCTGCCTGTACATCTAAATTCCACATATTTTCTTCTTCTTTCTGCGTGCGAAAGATGCAGTTTTGCCAGTTCTCTTGGGTAACGTTATTTATGGCTTCGTAGAAGAGCGTACATAACTGAAAAGTAGTATTTCTACTTGCAACCTCTTTTTTTATTTGTGCCCAGATTATAGGATTAAGCTCACAATTGTGTGGTGGTTATCGGTGAATAAAAACCCCATGGTTACGAGATATTTTATCAAAAAAGTAATTTTAGAAATTTTTGTTTATGCTGTCCTGCAATATTTAGTAACTCATGGCTTAACCATAGACTTGCAATACCCAATTTCTTTCCTATCTAGCCATTTACTTCTTTCTCCTTTTCGCCAACTTGTTGTTGGAAGCTTTTCTATTTGACGACTTTGATAGGAAGCATTATCTAAAATGATTATTAAGCCAGGTTCAATTTTTGTCAATATGAACAAAAACCAAGTTTCAAATTTCTCAGTATCCATGTCCTCGTGATAATCTCCAGATTTTTTGGATTCAAAAACTGAGAGTCCTCCAGGAAAAAACCATGTTCACTACCAATATGTGTTATTATTAGATGTCGGCCCTTACTTAACGGTGCTTTTAAACCCGTAGAGAGACCTTCAAGGAATGCTTGTCGAGTGTTTTTAATACTTAAATCGTGCCAAACTTTGTTTGTCACGATTAGTTGTGGCAAATTAATTGTGTAAACCACTTGGAATGTACTCAAGAAATGGCTCAAATTACAAAATTTACTCTTACTCAAAATCAGAATTATCCGAATCATCGCTCTCGTCATCAAGTTGGACTATAATCGGTTCCATAATTACACCTACCTGTATATCTACATTCCACATCTTATTTTCTATTTTCTCCACGTGACCAATGCACATTGGTCTGCTGTAACGTTACGTATAGCTTCATCGAATAGTACTTTAACATCACATAATTTAAATGTAGTATTGCGACGTGCTACCTCTGTTTTCACTTGTGCCCAAATCAATTCAATTGGATTCAGCTCGCAATGATATGGTGGTGATCGATGAAAAAGAACTCCGTGACTAAGAGCCATTTCGTCAACAACATATTTATGATATTTATGTTTATGTTGTCGTGCAATATTTAACAACTCAGGTTTAATCATTGATCTTTCATAAGCGATTAGTTTCGTATCCAGCCAATCAATGATTTGTCCTTTGCGCCAGCTTGTTGTTGGGAGCTTTTCTACCTGTCGACTATGGTAGGGAGCATTATCTAAAATTATTACCGATCCCGGTTCTATTGTCGGTAATATGGACAAAAACCAAGTTTCAAATCTCTGAACGTCCATGTCCTCATGATAGTCACCAGATTTTTTTGACTCGAAACATAAAAGTCCACCAGGAAGAAAACCAGACTCACTACCAATGTGTGTGATAATTAGACGTCGACCTTTACCTGATGGTGCCTTAAGGCCTGTGGATAATCCATCAACAAATGCTTGCCTACTGCTTGTAACATTTAAATCGTGCCAAACCTTGTTTACAGTATGAATGAATGAAAGAAGTGGAAAATATTAAAAATGGAAGCGAATAGAGGAGGCCTTTATTCGGAAGTGGACAACACAGGCTGCAAGATGACTCCAAGACCATATCTTTTAAACAAAAACTAAAATTCCTCTCATTTTTTAAAAAAATTGCAATATTTTATTAATTAATACAAAACATACATTTCTATTTAGTTTGATCAAATCTCTTATCGTACGACCAATGTACCTTATGCCCTAATTTTGCAAATGAATAACTTGCAAATGAATAACCTCTTATTGTTCATAATTAAAAATGCCAATCCCAGAGCTATCTAAATGTCTTTGAAACTGTCTATACGAGTGACTCACGGCATCGAGAGAGATTATGCCTGTGGTAGATCTTTCCAGGAATGCCGCGTATTGACCATAACATTCGAAGAGATGTTATAAGGAAATTCCATAGCGATAAAAAGTCATTCTGAAATAAATATTTGCAATGTAAAGATACACTGTATAATATAAATTAATTCGTAATGTTGTAAGTGAAGTTTAAACAAACGAACGGTAGTTTCACGTTACAAGTTACAATATTTTACATCCAGAGAAAATCCATATGCAACACTATCGTTTTGTTGACTGCCAGTATTAAATAAAAAATTTTAGAATTCACAAAGAAGTGATTGAAAATATCTACTTACCAAAGTTAACATACAAACGATATAAATAAATTGTTAATAACCACTCAAACACTTTACAGACAATTTATAAATATAACAAGGTAAGTTTACGGTAAGTAAATTTACGGCAGTTACGCTACTGATAAGCTGATCGTAGCGAAACTATTTAATCTATTGATAAACCTGCCACTTCGTTTCGATACTACAGCTCTTCGGGAGCTAATCGTAGGCATTCGTTACTCAAAAACGTGATTTATGTCGTTATCGTATACTGTTTCCCCGGTATTTAGTTCAAATCACAGTTTTATTAAAGCGGACTGTCTGTCTGTCTAGTTACACTGAATAATTTACATAAAATTTATTTAATTAAATTTTGCCGTATGTTCACGTTGTGGTCCTATACTAAGTATTTGTCACTCCGTAAGATTTCCAGATCGAAGTATACATAAAAAAGGTGATGTTACTAAGATTGAGAACTATAGACCAAGAAGCCTTCTTCCATCATTCTCAAAAATATTCGAAAAGGCAATATATTTCAGACTACAAATCTTTTTTACTACAAACAATTTATTTAGTAGTTCACAGCATGGTTTTCTTGCATTGAGATCTGTTGAGACAGCTACCTATGATCTTATATCAAAAATTTTAGAAAAACTGGAAGCAAAGATGAAATCACTAGGTGCTGTTTTGGACCTACCTAAGGCTTTCGATAGCCTAGATCATGTCCCTTTATTATAAAAATTACATATTTATGGAATACAGGGACCGGCATTAAAATGGACAAAATCATTTCTCACAGATACGTCGCAAAATGTATGCCTGGAGAAAAGGGGATGGGACCTTTTCTCTTTTTTAAAAATGTTGGGAATGTTTCCACATGTTCAGTGGAAATCGGTTGTTGCTTAATACTGATAAGAAAGTTTTTGTCTATTTTAGAACCAGCCAGTCACGAGAACAGTTTCCAGATACAATAAATTTTCTATCACAAAATACGGAACTTGCTAAATCATTTAAATTTCTTGGTATTCATGTTGACCAGAATCTGAATTGGAGGGAACAAATACAAAATACAACAAAAAACTGAATAGAGCCTGCTACTCATTCAGAGTGTTAAAGAGCTATCTAGACCAGGAGATTTTACTATCAGTATATTATGCAAACTTTATTCTGTTATGCGATACGGAGTAATCTTCTGGGGTGCTACAGTAGATAGTTCAACTGTCTTCATAGTCCAAAAAAAGCAGTCCGGGTGATTTTAGGAATAAAGGCGGGAGAATCCTGTAGAGGCCGATTCAAATCACTCAATATACTCACTTTCTCAGCCATCTATATATTTGAATGTATTATGTTCCTTATTAAAAAATTTTCTTTGTTTTATCACCTGCTTCCCAATCATGAATATAATATAAGAAGCCTGAATTTGAATTTGCCACTTCACAGATTGTCTATAACAGAGAGAAGTCCTTTGTATCATCATCATCATCATCCAGCCTCTATTTATCACGTCCACTGCTGGACATAGGCCTCCTTAAACTCCTCCATTCCTCACGATTTTGTGCTCTTTGTTGCCAATTTTTAGTGATACGCCTGATGTCGTCGGCCCAACGTGTAGGTGGTCTTCCTCTACTGCTTTGTCTGCTCTTGGCCTCCAATTTGTAATTTTGCTCGTCCATCGTGAATCGTGCATTCTCGCTACATGACCTGCCCAGTTCCATTTTAGTTCCGCTATGCGTTCCACAACATCAGTAATACTCGTCCTTCTTCGCAGATCTTCGTTTCTTATTCGGTCCCTCAACGTCACTCCAGCATAGACCGTTCCATTCGTCTCTGTGCCACTCTCAGTTTCGAAGCCGTGGTCTTAAAGTCATAGTTTCCGCCCCATAGGTCATGACCGGTAATACGCATTGGTCAAACACTTTTCTTTTGAGGCTGATTGGTATGTTGGCCCAACATACCAATCAGCCAAGTCCTTTGTATGCCTGTGTTCAATTTTATAATAGTCTACCATCTGACATTCAACAGGAAACACACTATAGAGTTTTTAAAAAGAAAGGTTTTTCAACACCTAGTTGACATTGAGCCCTATACTGTGGTGGAGTGCCTGGCCTATCGTTCTCCTTGATCAGCACATTTAATTTGTAATGTTAATATATTTTAAATGTGTGATGTCAATATATATTTTTTTAATTTGTAATTAATAATTTGACGTTATTTGCTCAATTATGTTTAAAAATTTATGCAAATAAAAATTTACTCTACTCTACTCTAAAAAAAGAGGGAGAAAATACCTAGAAAAGAACCAAAAGAGAGATGCGAAGAATAGAGAAAAATAATAGGACAGGAAGACTGAAATAGAAAAGAGAGGAGAGAAAAACTACGCAAAAATTTGGATCACATTGCTGTATACTAATCTGCAATAATATTGATAAAAAAGATTACCTGGTTATTTCTTCTTGCTGCTGACTACTCTGGTTCTTCAATGTAGTTAGTTTTTCCTCGAGATTACTCTTCTCTTGCTTTAATGTATTAACATCATCCACTAACTTGGTAATATTGGCTCTTTCGATTGTCAACTGTTTGGCTAACGTCTCCCGTTCCGTCTGCAACTTCTTCCAATCTTCGGGACTTGTTCTGTTGGTCTTTTCAATAAGCATATTAGCTCTTTGTCTCCACCTGGTACATTCGGCACGCAATGAGATATTTTCACTTTGTAATTGGTCAGCCTTTGTTGTGAGCTCTCTGTTCTTTTCTTGCAAAGGTTCAACTTCAGTTTCGAATGTTTCTGCTTTGCTTCGGAGATCTGCTAATTGGGTAGCTAGAGTATCTCTTTCCTGTCGTAGAGCTCTGTTGCTGTCGGTGATGGCATTGAGAGTTTCTAGCTTACGCAGAACTTCTGCATGTTTAGCAGCGGATACAACAGAGATCTCTGTTTTCTGCCTCTCCGTTTCAACAGACTCTTTAGCCTCATCAAGTTGCTTTTTAATCATTTCAAACTGTGTCTTCAATCTGGAATGTTCAGCTTCAACTATGTCAGCCTTACTTACAGCGATATCCTTTTCTTGTCTTAGATATTTAATAATCTTCAAAAGTTGTTCAGATGATTTAGTTTCATCTTCTGTGAATGATTTCGAGAAGGAGGACTCTCCAATAGATGTATTTTGACTTTGGTTGTCGCTGACTTGGGCTTGCAGGAGTGCAAGCTGTGTATTGAGAGCTTGTATTTGATCATGTAAAAGGCTATTCTGGGAATCCATATCTTTAAATCTTTCATTAAGTTCCTGCTTTTCGTTTTGGAACAACTGTTCTTGTTTTTCCCAATTTTCCTTAAATTGTTCTAGAGCCTCAGTAGCCTTCTGTCTCTCGCTTTGTAATTTATTAATTTCTCCTAAGGCTTTATCAAGTTCCTCTTTCATACTAGTAAGTGACTGTAGATCAACAGAGTGTAAGGTAACCTCTCGTGCATATTTATTTTCAACAGCTTTAAGTTGTTCAATCAGCTGTCTATTTTCAGATCTTGCAGTTTCTAATTGTTGTTTTGCTGTTCTTAAATCCATATTTCTAATATTAAGTTCCTCCTGAAGCTGCATGGACCTGCTCTTTCCTGCATTTGTAATATCTTGATCATCTAATTGAATAGAAATTTCTCCCTCGAGTTCAGCACATTTTTCTTCTAATTCTCGTATACGAGCTTTATGCTTATCTACTTCTTGAATCAACAATTCATTTCTGTCCATGGCATCTTTAACTTGTTTTTCCGACGCCTCTGCAACCTTGAAATATTCATCGGAAGCTTCTTTAGCGGTTTTTATTTTCTTCTTTAACGATTCGTTTTCAGCTTGTAGATCAGCTATCTGCTGTTCTAATTCTCTTACTTTTCTTGTCTCAGCGCTACCATCAGGTACCATAAACATTTCACTCTTAAGTTTTTTACTCAACTCTTCATTTTGGGCTACTTTAGCCATGAGGTCTTCCCTAACTTCTGCAACTTCTTTGCGCAATTTTTCCGCTATTTCCCGTTCTTCTTCTGCTCTTTTCTCGATGGTTTTATTTTGAGCTTCTAAATGATCGGACAATTGTCTAAAATGATCTTGTTCTTCCTGTAGTCTTCTGCGCAGAGCCGCACATTCTCTATGAGCTTCATCAAGTCTACCTTCCAATTTAAGTTTTCCTTCCGCATCTGCGCGTTCGAGAGAAGCCTTAATAAGCTCTATATTTGTTTTCATAAGATTTTGTTGATGGAAGTTTACCTTTAGCGAATCTCTTTCCTTGAGAAGTCGTTGTTCAGCGTCTTTTAGCAAAGCATTTTCTTTTTGCAAATTGCCCAGCATAACTTCTGCTCGTGAAAGCTTCGTTTGGCTTTGTATTGTTTCATTTTTCAAATAAGTAGCTGCTTGTTCGTGCTTAATTATCGACTCGCTATAAATTTTATTCTGCTTTTCTAATGCTCCTATTTGTTTCTTGTAGATATCAATGTTGTTGTTGAATATTTTAAACTTTTCTTCGTCATGTTCAGCACGAGAGCTCAGTTTACAATTTAGTCTCGTCAGCTCCTTAACCTCGGCGCGCATATTATCTAATTGTTCGATCAAAATCTTTTCATTGGCTGACTTTTCTTTACGATAAGTTTCGTTTTCTTCTTTCAAATGCTCGACGTCTCGCTTTAATTTTTCTACTTTAGCTTCATATTCCTGAACCTTTTCTTCCAGCTGCGTTTCAGTTTCGGTGCGTATTTTAGGTTCCCCATTTTCAGAAACATCAGACATATGAATTTCTTCTCCAGCGCCCTTAACAACTTGGGTGTACAAGTTCTTATACATGTCTTTTTGATTTCTGAGGGTAACCATCATTTTTGTTTGCTTTTCACGTTCTTCAAGTAGTTCATCTTGTGACTGCATAAGTTCCTCTACTTTAAGTTTTAGTGAGGCAATCGCAGCTGGATCGAGACTCTCCACTTCTTCTTGGCGTGCCGATAATTCTCTAACTAAAGCCAGAAGTTTTAAATTGTTAGTCTGTAATTCAGTGATATCATTGAAAGTAACTAATTTCTTGCTTATAATGTCTGCTGAATTGACACTATCACTTAAATCATTATCAGTCGATGTTGAAGACGATCCGACTCTGGAGTTTTCAACCTCATTCAACAAAACAACGACTTGTCGGGATAAATCAGAGACTTCGTTTCTCAATCTTTCATTTTCCCGTGTTCGAATTCCTTCAGCCTTTTTGCACTCCGCAGTTGTATCATGAAGTAATTGGATTTCACTGCATAATTGGTCATTGGAATCCTTTAACGTATCTATAGTTGTTAAACAATCTGAATAGTCTTGTTGCAACTTTCGTAATTTTGGTAAATTGCAATCCATTTCTTTGACGATTGCATCTATGTAATTATTTGACCGAGCACACTCTTCTTCCTTTTCGGTTAATCTGTTAGAAACATTTACATACCGTGAATATAATTCTGAATAGGTCATACCAGGTTTCACGAGCTTCGATGAAGATATATTTGGAGAAATACCTAAAAATAAACATTTATGTATTAAAAGATTTAAAACCAAAAATAAGAAGCTCACGTTCCCCTAATTTAGATACAATAACCGTGCCAATAATATCACTGCTAACTAGTGGATTAGGATAGCAACCATATCTAAACTGATATTGAGCTTTTAGTAAATAAGGAGTTTATTTAAAACTAAAAAACTCACATTTTTATGCACATTAAAAATCAGGGGAATACATTGATAATGAGTTGCCAGTCAAAAAATGGCCGCAAATATTTTTAATTGAATTAATAGTAATTAATTTTTGAACAAACATTTTATTTCATACATTTATTTTTTAAATACAATAATAGGGAGTTTTTGTAACTACCTAAAGTAACGTATCTCCCTATATGTAAAGAACTAACGTATCGAAGAAGATGAATGTTAAATTGAGAGTTAAAGTTCTGCACGTAACATACTAACTTTATTGATAGTAGTGCCTTTATTGGTGATGAGGAAGACGAGGACATAGACAATGCGATTCTTCTCCACATCTTGCACTACTATACGGCCGCTTTAATTTAGATACCATGTCTGGTATACAATGTAAAAATCTTTTTCGCTTTTGGATTCAATTTGATTCATACGACTTCCTCAAATCATCTTCATTGCTGAAGTGAAATGTGGATGTTGAAATTTTGGTAATCGGGTAAGATCCCCTTGTGCATTCGGTTACTTTCGGCTCGATAGGGATGCGTATGAACGTAACGTAGCCCGTTGCTTTAGGTAATACGTATCTAAATACGTTAGTTCAACCATTAATGCGCACGATTATATGTCAAAAAGATACGTTACATATACGTATTTGCTTGCACAAAAACTCTCTATTATGTCCATGACGTATATGCATGTTTTTTTCTTAATATGATCACAAAGGTATTCTCGCATTTCAGGTATGCGCCTAGCTGTTGAAATATGCGGCGAAGTTGAGAATATGGAAGGATGCTGAAGATTTCATGTTCAGGTTAATAAGAATAAAAAATAAGTTGAAAGCACAAGAAAAAAAAAGAACTCTGAAATGTCTTGCATCATATAATGTATTAAGGAAAATACAGCATCTTTTGGCTCATAATCCAACGAAAAATTGGGAAAATGGGTGTGTGAAGAAGGTGTATATCTAAACTAAGGAACTTAAGAGAATAGTATTGTTGCAGATAAGAACAACTCGTTATGGAATACCATGAATTATCATAATAGAAAGCTAGATAGAAACACAACTGTACACAAAAGCACAGTTTCTTACTACTAACGTTTTTTTTACTGAAAAATATATTTAAGACCTTTGCACAGTATGTTAACATACTTAAATCATCGATAATAAAAATAGAAAATCAAGAAATGCATAGTTATTGTTTTAATATTTTTTTCTTAACTTTAAAATAAGAATTAAGTTTATATACCTTAAAATTGGTAAAAATAAAAAAGATTTAAAAACATGTTAAAACTGATCATTTTGATATTCTATATTAAAATTGGATTAGTAAAAAAAATAAAGTATAGTACTTTTTAGATCTTTTCTTACCTTCACTATCAAGCATTGGTCTTGAATTATCTAGTAATTCATTGGCTGTTTCCAATTCCTTTTTCAATAATTCAAGGCATTCGTTCTTCTTTGCAATAATTTCTTCCTTAGCCAACTCAGACTCTTTATGTTTTGTTTCCAGTTCTCCATACTGCTCAGTGGCATTTTTCAGTACTTGTTGTAACTAAAACAAAAAAGTTTTCACGAGATGTCCCCACTTTCAGACTGTGAAAATATAATTTGCAAAATACCCAACTGTATAACAGAAAATGAACAATATGATGGCGGTTTGAGATTAATCTATCTTAAGTAAGAAAACGAACTATTTTTATCGTTTATATAAATTTAAAAAGAATGTAAAATTTTGTATATACAGTAGAACCTCACTCATCCAGGGGAACTCTCTGAACCTTTTAAAACAAATAACGGGACACGTCAGGGAGACCCACTCTCCTATATACTATTCAATCTAGCTCTGGAAAAAGTAATATGTATGTTACAAATCAAAACTACCGGTTCAATATATAACAAATCTGTGCAAATCCTAGCATATGCTGATGATATCAATATTGTTACGGTCACTACCGCAGAGATAAACCGCAGAATTAGCACGGCTAATAGATGCTATTTTGGGCTTAATATCCTTTTTAAATCTACAGTTACATCAAGAAATACAAAAGTAAAACTCTACAAAACAATAATACACTCAGTCCTAACATATGGTTCAGAAACCTGGACTTTTAACAAAAAGCAATGAAAACATGTTAGGATGTTTCGAAAGAAAAATACTAAGACGAATCTATGGAGCGGTGAATGAAAATGGTGTCTGGAGAAGACGATACAACTTCGAACTCTATAGAATATACCACGAACCAGATATCGTAAAACACAATAAGATAGGATGTCTGAGGTGGGTAGTCCATGTCCTGCGGATGGATCAAACCGACCCAGCTAGAAAAACGCTCCTTGATAGACCTATTGGTCAAAGAAAAGAGGAAGACCCAGAACAAGATTCCTAGATAGCATAGATCAAGATATGAGAAATATGGAAATACGTGCTTGGCGGAGGAACGCAATGGATAGGGACTGGAAAAATTTTTTGGGAGGCTAGGACCCACACAGGGTTGAAAAGCCAAAATGATGATGAGTAGAACCTCACTAATCCGGCACCATTAAAAATCAGATGGTGCTGAATTAGTGGAATGTTACATCTTATGGTCTACGCACGGAATGTTAGTTTCTAATTTAATTTAATTCAGTTCAATTCGATTTGAGTTGATTCAATTTTATTTTATTTTTTAATTTTTTTTTTTTAGTTTATGTTGAAATGGAACTTCTATACTGGCGTTGTATTACTTCTTTTTCTCTACAGTAAAATGCATAGGCGAGCGTCACGGAACTAGCGCCACAAAATGACGTCGTCACGTGTGGCGTCATATAGCGGTTCTTGACATCGATTCACTACTCTCGATCAATTCGATTCTAGTCATCATATATTTACCAGGAGCAGGTTTAAATTAAAAACTGCACGAAAAATAACTAACAAAATATAGACATTAAATAAGAAGTACAAAAAATTAAAAGAATATCTGTCTTTTACATCATTAATATATCTAACAAATGTATTAAAATTATTCTACAATGATTTGAATGTTTGTTTTATTCCTTTAACACCATAAATCCGTTATGAAAAACCCTGTACAAGCCAATCCAAAATATAAATTGACCTGTCCGAGGATTTTGTTAAAATATTTTTAGTTACAAAAATATTGAACTTATGTAATCCTTTACATCCTCACTGTATAATAAATAAAGAACACTCCTTTACTTCATGGTTTTTGAAATAATCTTAATAAGCAAATCTTTTGCAGTATCTGTTGATGATGATACGATGCAGGAGAGAGTTAAAATTTATTTGTTATGTTGATTTTGATCTGAATATGTTTCTTTGTATTAATGATTTTTGACTGGACTAATGATTTGAGCTGTGTTTTAATGCGATTCTTACCTTGATTGCAATTTAAAATAAAACCACTTATTATCACCTCATAGGAGTTTGCAATTGGATTTCTTGCATTCCAAAAATTATCAAAATGTACTCTTGATTTGATGTTATGAAAAAATCGTTTACAGTTTTAACTTATGGTTTTTTCATAAAACTACTTCATTTATAGCAAAGAGTTGTGGATGCTACATTTTCTTGATGGCTTTGAATGTTAAGATTTTTTTGTGAATTTGGTTGGGACTGATTTATTGGGTTTTCAGAAGAATTGTTTTGAATTTGTTGTCAAAATAGTGTATGCACATTTTTGTTTGATTTGAAAAATACGATGCCCCACTGTCAGTTGTCATGTATTTCTCTTTCTTTTACTGAGAACTTTCAGAAGACGTTTCAGCTCGCTATTCCCATTTTTTTCATTACTGTTTCTATCTTTTTCTATCAGTAATTAACTTTAAATCGATTTTTATCTTTTATCATTAGCTAATTAGTTAGTTAGCTAATTACAAAGAATATGACGATTTACATCCTTTCTCTAAAAATATCAAATTACTGTCTTCTACATTTTTTTTACATTTTGCAATATACTTGAAAACTAGTGTTTTGTTAGAAGTACAGATATCTATTCCAAATTAAATTTAGAATGGTTATGGTCGGATATTTATTAATAATTACCTATCAACTTTGATAAAATGAAAGGCAGATTTTGAGCACTGTTTTATTAATTAAATCTTGCCCAAGTACTTCCTAGAGCATCTTCTTTTGTGATTAACGTTTTAGACTTACTTCATCAAATTTTGGGCTATTCAAAAATTGCAGAATGTCATAATTTTTATCATCCATTAACTTCGAGTTTTTTGTTTAAGTTAATCAATTTCTTCATTAAAAAAAAACGTTTCTTGGCTTATTTCAGATGCCCCTGAAAACGCTCTAGGAAGCGAAAGTACTTGGGCAAGATTTAATTAATAAAACAGTGCTCGATATCTGCCTTTCATTTTATCAAAGTTCATTCATTCGAGCATTCAATCTTATATCAATTAATTACCTATCAGACTGAATAATTTAAATGCATAAGTATAGAACAATTGAAATATAATTGAGTCAAATATTTAAATTTTGTAAATTTTCTTACTATTGTACTATTTTTTCAATAACTTTCTTTATTTTAACTATTCTAAAATCACATAAGTGCAGGCATTTAGTTTCATACCACATACTCCATCACTCCCATCCGATAATTTTTCCTTCAGATTTAAGCCAACAAATTTGAATGAAGTTGCAACAGAGGAATTAAAAAATAGCCTCAGTAAGGACCCTGATAGAATGAACACAAGAATAATCAAAGCAATTAAACACAACATTATCATATTTTTAACTAAATTAATATACTACTCAATTTCATCTTGCATTTTTCCTTCAGTGTTTAAAACTGCAAAAGTCATATCTTTCTTTAAAGGTAAGGGTTTGGCTAATCATATATCATAATATCCCATCTTTCGTCAAATTTCTCTTTTGTCAATTCTTTCCAAAGTATTTGAGTGAATTCGAAAGAAGCAGATTAATGATTATTTTGAATTTAATGGGCATTTTGCTGTAACTCAATTTGGATTTAAAAAAAAACACACTTGCTATCAGCCATTTTACAAGCAGCATTTTGGAATAATTTTAACACTTTCGTGATGCCCTTGCTTCATTCCTTGACCTTACTAAAGCTTTTGATTGTGTCACTCATAGTATCCCTTTTAAAAAACTGCGTACCTTTAACTTTCATCATATCTATGTCATCATTTCATCATATGTATTTTTTAACCAGCTTGGGATTTAAACCCAATAAGCAGTCCTATTTGCTGACGATTCTACATACTATCAAAGTTATCATACTTCCCAAATCAATGATATGGATTTTAAGACAGAGAGCAATGTGTCCCAATGGTTTTTAACAAATCATCTTTCTCTCAATAACTCAAAATTACAAACAGTTAACTTCACCCTAAGACATAATACCATTGCACATCCCATTTCACAAGAAGCTAAATTTCTTGATGTATATCTTGATCAGGGACTCACTTGCGAATAACACATACTGAAACTTTCTCAAAAGCTATACAGCCAACTCTTTTTAATTAGAAATCTAGCTAAGGTTTCATCCCTGCAAATGTATGCAAACCTTTCTTGTGGACACTCTTACCATGTAGATAAGGTGTTTGGTCAATAGAGAAAATATATTCATATAATCACTGGACGGGATTATTGGGAGGATTGTGAGCAAACTTTAAAAAACCTGAAAATTTCCTTCTGTGTACATTAGGCAATGTCTGTTGCATGTTCATCAAAATTTAGGTCTTTATAAAACAGAATAAAATACTTATCAAACCAGAAATTGTGATGCTCTTGTTCCAGAGTCAACTGTATCCAATATCTGTCAATAGTCTTGATTTGAATCAATATAAGAGACACTCTTACTTCAGATCTAATTTTGATTTTGTACTGTATTTTCATTAAATGTTTTTTAGCTTTCTCAATCGTAATTTAGCTTTAATTATTAGGAAATGTGTATTATACTGTCAAATTTTAGTTTTAGATGATTTTTTTATTTTTACTTACTTATTGCTGGTTTAAGTACATGTTTTTGTATAGTCTTACTAATAATTACTCTACATTCTGGTGAATAATTTCACAAACCGTAACAAAATGCAATTGCAAATTGGAATGTGACCTTTTATTTTGAATTGTAATACCCACATACTTTTGTAAAACAATTTTTGATATTGTCAAATTCGTATTTTATTCTTGAGCAAAATTCATATTTTTAGACAAACCTTGTGTATGAATAAAAAAAATTTGAAAATCTATGGTTGCATTTTCATTAATTCATTACCATAAAATTTGTACAAGCAAATTACAATTATGTGACAAATATAAATTAAAATATATAATAGAAATAAAATTCTATGACCTACCTCTGTAACAGCATCTTCCAGCGTTTTAGAATGGTGTTCTAGTTCCTCATATCTAGATTTAAAGGCATTAGCCATTTTAGTTTTAGCTTCAATTTCAAATACATATGACTCATTAACCTTCGCTTCTTCATCCCTCATATTTGCAATTTTTTGAGAAAGTTCTTCAATTCTTGAGGTTAAGTTAGTGTTAATATCGTTTAGAGATTTAATCTGTTCTGTAGCTACTGTCAGTTCCTGTGTCTTCTGAATAAGTTTCGTTTCCAATTGAATGCAAGTTGACGAGTTATCACGTTTTGAGTTAAGTAGTTCTTCAGTTTTCTTATGTAGTTCTTCTTGTAGACTTTCTATTTGGCTGTTATATAGTGCCTTGTCTTGTTCCATTCTTTTTTCACGATATTCTATATTTATTTTCATTGAAGCAACTTCTTCAATCTAGAAAATATAAAACAAGATGTGGCATTTTAATAATTGTAAAATTGCAAAAGTCAATTTGTAAGAAGCTACATCATATTTATAACACAATGAATGTAGACCACCTAGCATAAAAAATTAACCCATAAAAGGGTTTCTTAACTGAACCATTGCAGGCCAAGTCCAAATGAGAAAGGAAAAGGGTGAATGAGTACAGGTGGCAGGAACCATGCAAAAAAATGTTTGTGAATATACCGGAAAATAGCATTCATTCTAAGTGACATGAATATAAAAAATCAGACAAAAATACTGTATGTCGGAGTATATGTCAACTATTGACAAATTATATCTACACAACAGTGAATCTGATGATTGGGGTCAGGTTGATCAACTTAGTTGCATCCCTTAATACAATGAAAGCAAGTATATTTTTCCAACATAAGAACATGCACAAAAAGATATGAAAACCACCAGATGGGAACACAGTCAACCAAATATATTACATAGTAATTGACATAAGACACTTTTCAGCACACTAGATGTCATGAACCATTGAAGCACAAATCTAGATTCACTACCTAGTAGAAACCAAATTAAGAGCAAGAATATTCAATCTACAAGTAGAAGAGTAGAGAAAATTTTAAAATGAGACAAGGCAAGAATGACATACAACAGTGATGGTAGACAAAGTAATTAAGACAGTTAAGGGAGAAAGAAACAAACATTAGTTTGATGAAAAATGTACTGAAGGAAAAACCAAGCATTCCTCCAGACTTCAACAAAGAGTAGTAACAAGACAACCACAAGAAAATTATAAAGTACTGAAGAAAGGAAAGAAGAGAAGTTACATAAAAGAAAAAAAGAGAACAAATAGGAGAAATGCAAGAACCAGGAACTTTTAACAACAGACCAGAGATAATTAATTATTATATTAATAATTAAACAAGTAACAGCAGATTTGCTGTGAAAATACAGCAGATCCTATGATTGTAAACATATTTAATTAATTGTGTTAAAAAACAATAAAAACAGGTGAGTAATAAATGATCATTAAAATAGTAAAAGCACTGAGTAATAAAAAACACATGAGTAATAAAAACACATGTGTAATAAAAGATCATTAAAATAGTAAAACTACTAAAAAGAAAGATAATGTATACCTGAGCTAATGCTTCACATTTAGCAGTAATAGCAGATTCCAACTTCTTTGTAGAATCTTTTAAATCTGCTTGGAGTCTCTCGATTTCTCCATTTCGTCTATTTATCATTCTGAGATGTTCATCTTTTTCATCCACAGCTTTGTTCCTCTGATGACGAAATTCAGCTGTTTCAGCTTCAAAAGCATTGCATTTTGCATGTAATTTCGTTAGTTCAGCAGTAAGATTAGATAATTGGGTTTCATGTTCATTTATAGTGTTAGAGGCAACTTCTAATTTTGATTTAAGTGTTTTATTTTCTAATTCTGCTTTTTCTAGGGTATCATGTAAATCCTTATCTTTTTGTTCTAAAAAAAAATATAATGTATAAACAATGTGAATTATATGGATCCCAAAACTTATTAAAAAATACAATATAAATGAAATAAGTAGTGAATAGATGTAAGTAAGCAAGATAGTGCTTTATATTATAAATTTAATGTTTAGATAATATATATTATCTTTATCATATCATAATTTTATTATTTTTTTATTACTTCCTTAAGAGTCTTGTATTTTCAAAAAATTGATTTATATTTTTTTATTCTATATGAAAGTGGCTAAAAATTTAAAGTAAATTCGAGCAATATTACCGAAGATTTAGAGATTTGAATAGCGCACGGTCGCTATGTGAGCTCTCAGTTTAACACGTTCAGTGCTGATGACGTAATATTACGTCATGCCGACGCAACACCGTGGTGCGCATGCCGTGATTTTACGTCTCCCGTTCGATTTGGCTTTTGCCGGTCAGTAATGCATTAGCATGATTGTAGATTTGCAGATGATGTTGTATTAATCGCAGATAATTTACAAGATACAGTTTCTATGATGAATTCTCTTAAAAGTCTGTCTGAAAGAGCAGGATTAAAGATAAACTTTGAGAAAACTAAACTTATAACAAATCTCGTAATGAGTGGAAATATAACTATTGACAATAATACCATACAACAAACAGACACTTACAAATGTCTGGGACACGAAATCAAAATAAGCAGAGACAATCGAAACACATGAAATACAGAGGCGAATAGGTCTAACTTGGGCAGCATTTGGCAAATTAAGCCATATTCTAAAAAGTTCAATTTCCATGTGTCTCAAGTGAAAGGTTTATAACCAATGTGATTTACCTGTACAAACTTATGGAGCAGAGACTTTAACACTCACACAAAAATCTGCGAATAAACTCAGAGTTACACAATGAGCCATGGAATGTGCAATGCTGAACGTGAGCCTTCGAGACCACATAACAAACCAACAAATTAGGCAAAGATCAGGAGTTCAAGACGTCATCGAAAGAACCACGTCGCTTAAGTGGAACTGGGCAGGGCACTTAGCCAGAGCACAAGATGGACGGTGGACAAGACATATTATGGAATGGAGGCCCAGCAACTATAAAAGAAGCCGAGGACGACCACCGACTAGATGGACCGATGATATAAAATGTGTAAGGGGAAACTGGCTACAAGCGGCACAGTGTAGAGAACACTGGAAAGAACTGAGGGAGGCCTATGTCCAGCAGTAAAACAGCGGAAATCTTCAGCTCCCTTTAGCATAGAGGAGTTAGAAGAGATATTATGCGACTCGGATTATAATGATGATGACCCGACTTTTTCTTTACGTGAGGAAGCAAGAAAATCTGGCTGGAGTGACTCTGATGACGAAGAAGAATCTGACGAAGGGCAAGCTGAAGAGGAGGAGCTGGATTCGACAGTATCAACTGCTGATATGACCCAAACTTCGAAAGATGAAGTTTTCCTTGTGCAACCTCAACAGCCGCAACCGGCAGATCCTGGGCAACAAACAGGTACACCTCCGATTATTACTTGGTCATATAATCCGCCGGTAGCGCCTCAACGAGCCTCAACTATTTCTGTTTGCAAACTATTTATATTCCAAACATTTTTATTTCAAGTATTATTGTTCTTCACATGCTTTTAAAATTTTATTATATAATAAATATACCTACTTCCATTCAAGAGTGTATTCTTAAGTACATTTGGTCAGCAGGCGAATCTTTTCTCACTTTACCTCTCTCGTTCACTGACAAATAATATAGTCGCATGCATTATATTATATTTATTTTAAAATCATATTTTGTCGGTAAACACCGTACAAGAGTAAATGGAAAATTGTCTAAAAAGTTTATTGAAAAGTCCTGAGAAAATTAAATTTTTGGTTGAAAAATTTTGAAAAATATTTCGTTAATTTTTGGTCAGAAAAACAGTATAATAAAAATTTATGTAACGGTTTTTCGTTGTGTTGAAACAAACCAATTTTTATTCAAAGTTATAAAATGTAAAAAATAAATGCTTTGAATATTGTAAATATCATACCTTTTTAAATTTCAAAATTAAAAATTTAACAATTTAATATATTAAAAATAAAGATTTTATTTGGAAATTTTTTTAATCGTTAAATAAAGTTAAAGGATGCAAAGTTAAATAAATAGCTCCGTTCGTACTCCTTTCCCACTTTCCCCTAACTACATCTTTTATGATAGTTTTAAGCTGACTGCCAGATGTGTTTTGAAGTATAAATTGTAACCAAATCGCCCATTTGAACTGTTCTTCTATAAGCGTCTATATTCTTTGGTACTATACTTTCATATGGAATAAAAAAAATAGATCAATTTTTTGAAAATACAATACCTATGGAACCATTAATTTTTATATGTAATAATTAATTATAAGCAATTTAAAAAAAACTAGTTCATCTCTAGGTTAAGTACTACCACACTATTTAAAAACTTTTGCCTGAGTTTAAAGATATCCAAGAGAGGACAGCAATTTTTCCAATCAGTACTCCAGGTTGAACAACCATGATTCCTGAGCATTGAAGTTGTGCATATTTAGACACAGGCTTGGTGGCCAGACCCTCCCAATAGTCATCTAGTGAGGTGAGCAAACACTGTTTGCCAAGTTGAGGCAGTGCACCATTAAGCATGGACTTTTTGCTTAAAAATACTGTTTGCTCTTCTTGCATAGTCTTACTAAGTGTATCAAGCTAAAAGGGGACTATGTTGAGAAATAAATCAATTTAATTCCAAAAAACTTGTTTTTTCTATCAAAGGCTAGTTTTATATCAATCCACTATCTTATGTCAATGGTTGCCAACTGTTCTTGACCTGAATTGGACTATATGAACACCAATGACATGTGGTTTCAACAGCACAGCTTATGCCACATTGAACAATCCTCAAAGGTAATTTGGGGTAGATTTGACCCCATTAGGCTTATTCTTGTTGAGTTTTTTAAGTTGCATGTGTAGACAGACATAAACCAAAAAGTTGGAACAATTCAAAGCCAACATAACAAATGGCTGGAGGAACTGATTTGATGAGGAACATTTGATCCTTTTTCAGTTTTTTGGATTGCATATTTTATATTATTTGTTCATGATAAAGTTTTTTCTAATACAGTACATAAATATTTGTTTGATACCATACATGTTGTATCTAGTGTTTGATAGATGTTTGGCATAGCAATGAAACAGTTTATCTCTCAAAATTACCAAAGAATAATAAAACTTAACCAAGAGGTGCCCGAACACATACATCCAGGAAAGATGATCCTCGCATAATTTGAGGTATTTTTATACATTTGAAGCAGGCCATGTTGTTTGTTAAATTTAATAAAAATATTAAATAAACAACATCCTATATGAACATTAGAATAAAACTGATGGTCGCAGTCACAGTATTGTATTAATAAGAACAAAGTTACAAATAACCTGAAGAATTGCATTTTGTTTGTAAATATAATATTTAAACTATCTGCCTATATATCTATATAAAAAGAAAATTTCCACTGCTGAACATAAATCTGCTTAAGTTTTTGCCACTGCCTTCTATAGCATGACCTGTTTATCCACATTCAAGAAAAGCAAACAACAGAAGATCAGGAAAAGTATTAAAATTGGTGTCTTAACTAGAAAACCATTCTAAAACTAAACTAGTAGCTTATACTACTAAGAGGAAGCTTACTGGACTAAGTTGACTGAAATTATTTGAGAAGGAACTAGAAAGAACCAATGAGGTTAAGTATCTGTGGATAACCCCCGGATTCCAAACTCAACTGGAACACTAATAACAACATAACCAACATTACTACATGGGGCTTCTAGAACTGCAGAAAAGTTGTAGGTAAACATGGGGTCTGAAACCAAATGTAATCTATTTGTTATACACATCAGTGATACGATTAATAGTTACATCTACACCTCGATGGAGTTGCAATCCTATGTGACTTCTCCCTTCTTCTTCTTCTTTGAGTACTGTGCCCAAGTTTTAGGAGTGGGTAGCTTCCATGACGATTTGCCGATATGGTTCTCCATCTTGTGCAGCATGTAATAATTCATATGCTGATAAGCCAGTCCATTGACGAAGGTTTCAGAGCCATGAGTATTTCTTTCCATTGAGTATCAACTGCATTATCCTGTATCTGCTACCTCCCATTATATGGCCCAGATATTGATTGACTTCTCCTACCATGCTATAAACACAAACACTTCTAAATATGACAGAAGCCTTGAATAGTACAGAAATGGCATCTTTAGAGGCTATCACAGGTCTCCCCCACTGGAATCACATATTTCAGATGTAGCCTTTATGACCATACTGAGACTTAAGGCAAACATTACTTGGAGGCTCAATTATGTATTGAATAGTCATACAATACTACTAGACCTTACTTAAAGAATCCATCTTTCAGGTGAACTAGGATATGACAACCCAAAAACTAATATTCACTGAGAAGATTAACACAATGGTTCACTGATGGATCTAAAACTGCCCATGATATTGGATCAGGAGCCTTTAGGCAAATTTAATTATACCAAATCTTACAGCCTAGGTCAATATACAACTATGTTCCAGGCTGAAGTTTTTGCTTTGGTGGTCTGTATTGATGAAATTCTGAATGGATACCCCAGAGCAAAGAGAATCAAAATTTATACAAATTGCCAAACAGCTATTTTGGTATTAAAGAACCCATGCACCAAAGCAAAACCAGTGAAGAACTGCAACTATCTCATTAACCTTGCAAAAGATAAAGTATGACCAAGTGCCAGAAATAAGTGTCTTGCCTGAACTAAGAAGACTATATTATATTGATTTAAATGTAACTTTTTACAATAGGCCTATAAGACCTGTTCTGCATGTAAATAGATAAACAATTAGATAATTAACTTTAACATATTAATTAGTCAATTATAGATTATATTCTGAATCTCAGCTACATGCATTGCAGTAAGTAATCTGATGTTTATTCCAATTGAGGTACCAGAACCATAACTTCATTAAGATGGATCAAGTAATTTGATCACCTACATTAGCAGACAAGCTAAGCTGTCTTTTATTGAAAACTGTACCTATGTTTATGTTTATTAAAAAATATTTTCATGTGGGTGGAATACTCCAGGACCTGTAACCATTAGTGTTATTAAAAGTATTACCAACCTTCTTAAATACTTATACCTAATATACTGATGATAACAAGACATCCTTCAGCTATTAAAAAATAAACAATGACAAGGAAAATATGAACATAATACCTAGATAAGTATTGGAAGTATCAACTGAGTAATCATTTTTGAACTTTCTAGTAATAGATAAAAATGGTTCACTCTCGATAGGCAAACATATGAATATTAGCTTCAGTTTATATATACTAATTAATTATTACTAAATAAAAGTTATTTATATAGTTAATGATAAGTATAGCAGTTGGGGTGGATACATTATTTGATGAACATTTTTCAACTCACTCATTTTTGGGACAACCCGAGATATACAAGCAATCTAAAAAGGCTAATGATATTTTAATGTTAAATTCAATAAACAGCATGTTAAGAACAATTTTAGTTTCTGTTGACCCTAATTTATGTGAGTTGGTAAGACCATTATTAATTATGCTGCCTATGTTACAAATTTATATAAAACCTTGCATTACATACCCAAATTACAACATTTTGTTTCCAATAAAGCTTTGGCTTTTATTAAGTCATCAAAATTTTCAGTCACAAACTTTATAATTTTTTTTCCTAAATCTACTGGAACTACTTTCCATTCTTCTTCACTAAGAACACTACCAAAAACGAAAGAGTCCTCCATTGTAGAGTTTTTTAAAAATGCTATTAAAGAAACTTTAGAACATAATTCACTCGTCACTGTTACTATAGAATTGATTAGTTAGAATTTACGCTTTGAAAATGCAACGGCTACCGTAGATCAAAATGAACGAGAAAACATTCTGACGCCAACATGCCGGCAAGTTAGAGTAGAAATAGTGTTGCCAATATTCAAAAACAAAACACAAAACCACCAGATAAAGCATTGCCAACTAAATAATTTAAATTCTTGCAAAAGAATTTCTGATAAGATATAATTAATTTCGCTATAAAAAAATATGCACATTTACATTTAAATATTTTTTATGTATCTATAAGAGGTTTATCAATGTCAAAATGTGTATAGTTAAATTTTTCCTCATAATGAAAACTTTATTAAGTATTATTGTCAAATTTTTATTAAACGAAAAATGTCTAGAAATAATAAGTAGATACTATCATAATTATTAAAGAAATTCTTGGAGATTGATAATATATTTCTTATATCAAATAAGGGAAAAAATTAGAAACATCTTACCAAAATAATAAAAATTGCCTAAGCAACAACAGAGATAAACCGGTAAATGTCAGATGTCAGAATTCGAACCAATGATCAAAATGAAAATGCTATTTTTAAAATGTCAATTAGCAATATAATGTTTATATATTTTTAATTATACTGAGTTAAAAATTCGTAATGTCTAATATAATAAACTTTAACAGTAATAATGCGTTCAATACTGTTATTGACAATCCAAAAAGTACTAATGCCCAAGAACAAGAGGTGAACGATCGTATGGAATTTTTAAAATTAGAGCAGAACAAATATCTCCAACAAAAAATTTTATATGATTTACTTGAAGATGTTATTTACGAAGATCATGCGGATGCCAAGTTGAAAAGGAAGGTAAAAGATATAATATTAAGTGAAAATTTGAAGCAAACTTTATCAATGGACAATAAATCTTTAGAAGGAAATGAATCTAATGTGTTAGGTGTTGCCCAGGACGTTACAGTGTTAACTTATTCAGAAAGTAGTCTGCTGAGGGACTTAATTAAATTAAAGTCGACAAAAAACGTTGAAGAACTTATAGAGCAGCATAATGATTGGACTGAATTAATAGAAAGTATTAGGGAATTGGGTTCAATTCAACTAAGCCAAGAGGATAAAATTCTTTTGGAATATAAGAATAAGGTAATCATGGAACAAGAAAAGTATATAAATAATCTACTAAATTTACACAAATTATTAGAAGAAATAACCCACACAAGGACAGTAGATCTTCCAAAAACTATGGAACAAAAAATTGCAGAATGTCAAGTAGAAGAAAAAATTAACTATTTAAAATGTATTATGGTGCAAGAAAAATGTAGAGCTGAAATCTTTACTGAAACCAACTGTTCATTAAGAGCCTACAAGGAATTGATCAAAGATATAGAACTCCAGCAAAGAGACTGTCAGAAAGAAATAGAAAATTTATCAGAATTGAAGCAGAAATATAAAGCCATATCAGGAAAACAATATGATGATATATTAAAATCATATATTTTGTATAAAAGTTCTTTAGAAAAGAAAAAGATGTTGTGTAGTTCGTTAAACAGCTGATTATAATAATTATTGTAATGATTAAGATAACCATGATAATTTGTAACAATAAGTTCAATTATATATCTATATTTTATATACAATTTTTTATTGTACTTTCCTTTTTTAAGTTGAAATATATTTTTATAAATAAATAATTTTTTATATTGTCAGTCAAAAGTGAGTTTGGTGAATTTAATGAATCTTTAACTTTAAATATGGAATCTAGCATTAAATATAAATTCAAATTTAAATATGACTAAGGAGATACTGCATTCTAAAATTAATGATTAATTAACTGTTACAGCATACAAGGATTTTCTGGCTTTTGTTCCTATCTACTTAACACATATTACTGTTTACTTGCCAAAGTTGTTGAATTAGCTCTTTATGTGAAAACATTCTAGATACTTTGCTTTTATTCTAATAAGTTTTAAATCATTGATATATATTTTAATTCTTGGCTAGACAGAAATAGTCTACAACAGTGATAAATGGTAAACAACCAGATAATAAAAAATTGTTTTTGTGAATTATACCTAATGTAGCTATTCTTGCTACCCCTTATCTCAAGTTAAATTTTTCTATCAATGATTTGCTACTGCCTCAGCTTCTTAAATATATGCCTTTATGTCTATGTATTTGCTAAATTCGCATTGCAGCATCAATACATATTTATTTCCGTCGTCCTCAGTCTCTTGTCGAGCTACAAAATTTATAAATGTCGACTGAATGGGTAGATGCTGTTTCGCTATAATAGAAGGCTTGTGTCTTTAGTAAGCATCATCATTTTACGAATTATTGAAGACATTTTCATAATTTGTTCCAAAAATAATATTTTTGTATGTATATTCTATTAATGCTTCCGTGACCTCCTGTTGGTAACATATTGTAAAGCTTCAAAATCCTTTAATTTTTTAAATAAAATTTAATTCATAAAAGTGTAACTTTTATACGATCCTGTATAACATTTTAAAAACACACAATACATATTTTTGAATGTTTATATTACCTTCAGTAGAGAGCTTTCGATGTTTCCAAAGTCTCTACGGACATTGCTTCATTGGAAAACAAAGTTTCTAAGCAGATTTCTTCTCTGGATAGCAAAGTTTCTGCTAACTTCTTGGAAATCTTTAAAGTCGCTTTTGAGATGTATGTCATCGACAATAGAATATCTTTGTTAAAAAACCGATATTTTGGCTTTCAAAGAAAAGACGAAAGAGACTGAAAGGAATACGGAGGAAACAAATTAATTACATTAGTAACAAAAGACGACGGGACGAAATGTAAGTTGGAAATACGGCCGACATTTGAAGGATGTGGAAGTTCTGTTTGTGTTAAAGTCCCAACTTTCGACGGAAAATCGTCATGGAACAACTATATGAAATAGTTTGAATCAGCTTTAAAAGCGAATGGATTCGTCTGAAAAAAGAAAAGGATGTAAACCTGATTATCGCTCTTCGAAGAGATGTGTTTCAGATCATAGCCGTAGAGGAGAGCTGTTTTCGAACAACTTAAGAGACTAAACATGGCCATGAACACTTGGATCATATCTACCAGTCACAACTTAAAAATCGAACACAAAAGAGAGATGAGACTCTTCAAGAATATGAGATATATTGTCAGGTTAGTACAATATGCTTATACAACAGCTTCCGAAGACATGATGAAAAAGTTGGCTGTTTAAACATTTGTTAATGGTCTTCGTGATCATGAAATACTATTAGCTCGTCACAAGATGCTGGTTAATGTCTCTTGTCCGCCGCCGTCAGCCAAGACAAACTTGACCAGCTTATTAATATGATGAACAGCATTACATACAAGAAAACGAAGAACATAAGGTGCCGGAATTGTGGCGAAACAGAACACGTACCAAGTTCATGTAAGCACCAAAGATAACACAAATCAAGAAATTCTCCAGCAGGAATACTAGAACGGTTCGGCCTTAGGAGTGCAGCTTCGACCCGGAACGTTTCCAAAGACTCTCTCATACTAATACAAAATTACACCTTGTTCGAGCATTGATATTTTCTATCGCCACCTATGCTTCAGAAACTTGGACAATAAAAAAAGCCGTATCAAAGTCTACCGTAGAATGTTGCGCATACCATGGACCGCCCATCGCACAAATAACTGAATTCTAGCAGAACTTAAACATAAAAACTAGACTCATCACAAATATCAACCAAAATATACTGAGATAATTTGGGCATATAACTAGAGGAAGAGATGGCAAGAAGCGAATGATAGTTAAAGGTAACGTAGCGGGTAAAAGATCCAGAGGAAGATCTCCAGTAGGATGGTCGGACCAAATAAAGCATCTGACTGGTTACTTATTCTCCGAAGCAAAACAACAGGAACAGGAGAGAGATAGGTGAACAGAAATAGTCAAATAAATTACATGACGCTACTACATTCAAGGAGAAAGGATATAAGAGATGTAGAAATAAATGGTAAAAAGTATACATTGTTGATGGATACCAGAGCGACAAGGACCTTGTACGTCCGACAGCTATAAACAGACGTAAGAAATTTTTACCAACTAGGTTGCGCCTGCGGTCCGCCACAGGTGTAAATGCCAATATCTATGGAGAAATCCATAGGTATACAATTAGGAATTGGAGCAGAAAAGTTCGTCCATACTGTCATAGTTACTGAACTCGAACCTGAACCTCACCCGAGCATTGTTTTTGAAGGACAATCCTGTGAACAGTGGATGATGATACTGCTGTAATACTTTCACAATGATTTATAGCCTCCGCCCGAGACAATGTTTTTCTAAAATACTCATACACATGTGACACTATTTTTTTAGCTTCAAGTTCTAACTGTTTGCGAGAACCTTTCACGTTTATACTCTTCCTGTTAATACTAGTTTTTTCCATTTTTATTGAATTAAACAATATTTAACAAAAGTAATATATCATTAAATACAAAGGCACCTGTACCAACCTATACTTCTAACACACAATGTACTTCTGGCTCTGAGAAAACTAAATATATACCGCATGTAGAACGCATCCTTTCGCATTCTACGCTACTGACAGACTTCTTGGTAAAAATTATAACGAGAGCTAGGGTAAACTACACACACTCAAAAATGTTTTACATAATGTAATATTTTCAAAACTCTACCAACTGTTCAAAGAAGCACCTATTGCAGAGTTCGCTAGAGTACAAAGGCTTCGATGGGCTGGTCATGTGGTACGGATGGATGCCGACAGATTGCCGAGAAAGGCCTTGGATGGTAAAATGCAGGGCAGAAGACCAAAGGGAAGACCACGTAATAGATGGGAGAACGAAGTCACAGCAGATGCGCACAACTTATTGAACGTCAGGGCTTGGAGACGAGTGGCGCGGGATCGCCTTTGTTGGAGGCAGAAGTTACAGGAGGCCAAGGCTCAATTTGGGCTGTAGCGCCATTGGAAGAAGAAGAAGAATATTTTCAAAATGATCCACCAAATCTGGTGAAATCTATATTTTTTTTACAAAATACTGTATTATATATAAAATTGTTTGTTTTGAAAAAAAAACAATAAACAAAATTTAATGGATTAACAATTTATTATTATTATTTATAGTATGTATTGTAA